GGTGGCGTTGATGCCAGTTTTGTCATAAATAATATTAGCGGCATGCTATAAATAAAAATAACAGTTTTATTCGACAGTTCAAGTCTACGGTTCTTCTTGTCTGTTAGTGTTAAAAAAACAGTAAGTATTGAGTGATGTAAAGGAATGAAAGCGATCTGCCCCTTGCTGTTGAATGAACAACAGCAAATCATCAGCGTCGAAAAGAACGTGAAGAATTTTGTTCTTTCTTTCGAGGCCACAGAGACGATATGAGTCTCGTTTACTACTGCTGTAGAAGAGATCTGCTGTTCGTTTTTTGCTGTTGAAGAGTTTTTGTAGTTGCAGAACTGCTGTAGATGATATGTCGTCAAAGAAGCGCGAAACTCCATTCAACTCCTCTCACGAACTTGAGTACGGATTGAAGATTTTGACGCGTGATCCTTTGTCTGGTGTCGTCACATCAGTTTTGTGACGACCATATCGACCAGAATTGTATTCACAACATCTCGAAAGCCAACACCTGACGAAGTGGAATGAATATCGTTCTCTGTCAGCAGACGCAGAGCGAAGTTTTTTTGATGCTACTGTTTTAATGAATACTATGCATGCCCATTTTGTTGTATCAGGAGATCAACTGTATTTTCATATAAACGCTATCATCTTCGATGTAATTCTACGTACACTTCTGTTTGATCCCGAAGCTGAGAACGTTTGTATTGATCAAGTGTTGAGATTTTTTGAGCCAATCAAATCTGACAGTGTGCTTGTAGGGTATCAAAAACATCAAGCTTTTCAAGCTTGTTATAGGGATGGTTGTTCTTGGCTCGTCGTTGAGATTAACATCACGTCAATTGGAGTGTGCATGTGAAGAATTAACTCTCGATTATCTTGGTGGATGCAACGAGGGAAAAGTATCATCGTTCGTTCGAGTTGCTGCTGCTGTTTGCCTTCAAAAACTGAGCAAATTACTTGCTGATTGTTGGACCTTTTCTGTCGCATTTGATTCATCTACTGTTCAGATCATCTCGTATTTTGACGTTAAAGTGAGGTTTGTTGTAGGTACTAGACTGTATTGTTTTCATTTATGTTGTCTTCCTCTTTACGGACGACACACAGGTGACAAATTGTTCGAGACATTCGGGAAAGCTATGGATGCAGTTTGTCCATCTTGGGTATATACACTCTTATCGACTTGCTCTGATGGTGCCAGAAACATGACAGGTCGAGTACGTAGGAAGGTACGTAGGAAGGTTGTCTTCACTCGAGTTGAATAGGAAGGTTGTCACTTGATTCGATTCTGGTGTGGTGCACACCAACTTGATCTTGTTGTTCAAACTGTTATTTCAGATTATCACAACAAAGAATTTTACTCAACGTTAACTGCCATCATCGGATATCTTCGTCGACAGCAGAAGTTGATCAGTGAAATGAGATCCAAGTGTCCAAAGGTTGCAACTACTCGCTAGTTATCGTTGGCGAAAGTATTACCTTGGTTTTCAACTCATCGTGGCCGTATTGTTGAATACATAGATCAGAAAATTTTTGATTTGAAACCAACTGTCATGTGGTGGATAGCTTTATATTCATTGATCCCTCTGGTTACAGAGATTGATATTCTGTTTAAAACTTTGCAGTATTCTACGTTGTTGGTCACACAACAAGAACTTGCTTTTTCTAGATTCATTTGTTGTCTTTGGGATGTGATAGGAATGAAAGGTTCACTTTCAGAATTGATATTTCAGGAACAAGATGAAGATATCTGGTGTTGTAACAATTTTTACAGGATTGTCAAGAATGCTGTCGTGCACTTTTTTCGAGGGTGTGATTCATTCATTGCTATGTCATTCGATAGCTTGTGTCAAGTTGAGAAGGATGTTGTGATTTGTTCAGTTGGAAATCTAATAGTTAGTCTTGTAGCAGGAATACATGCAATCGAGCCAAAAAGCGATAGTAACAAAGCACCAGCAGCAACTTTACCTCCATGTCTTCCTCGCGAGTTTGTGAACATGCCTGCATCAAGCTTCGTGGATCTGATAATTAGATTTTGATCTCGACTTGAAACAGCATTCACCAACGAGTACATTGACAGCTTGGAACGAGAGTTCAAAGAACTGAGTACTGCTTATCAAAGAGAATATATAGTTCGTGACACTGTCGATCAAATGCCAGAATCTGTAGATTTTCATGAAGCATGGAGTGCTCTTGAACGTAGGTTTCCCAAATTGTGCACGTTTGCTGGAGGATTTGCTAGTGTATATCTTGGTACAATGTGTGTAGAGAATTTGCTAGTGTATATCTTGGTACAATGTGTGTAGAGAGTGATTTTTCTGTGATTCGTTGGGAGAAAGACGAGTACATATCGTCTTTAATGGATCTGTCACTCGAGGGCATCATGCATTGTAAACAGTTTAAAGAAATTCAAGCAATTTGATACCTTGCTCATATTTGTCATAAATAAAATTCTAGTGATGCCATAACAGAGTAGTTTATGACAAATTTGGGAAATGCCAGGTTAGCAGAGGCTTGCCAATCAATGATGGAAAATACTTGACAGAAGATACCAGCACTCCTACGTTCTACAGAAAACTAGTTGGCCAATTGATGTTTGCTACTAACTCGAGATTTGATTTTTTGTTTTGTCTCACCTTGAGCACCTCAAGAGTCTCATTTTGATATTGGCTTCCAAACCTTGTAGTACCTCAAGGGTACTTTAGACCAAAGAATATTGTTCAAGCGAGGTGATTCTACTGGTGCTTACGTTTTTACACTAGCTAGAGGGCTGTATCATGGTGTTCTAAGAAGCAAAATCTCATCTCACTTTCCTCTACAGAGAGTGAATATAAAGTCTTGTCTTTTGGTGCACAGGAAGCCGTTTGTCTACGACAACTGTTGCATGAAATCAACCCAGTTACAGTCACAATGACATCAACGCCTTTCTCCTGCAAGTATATCAAGATCATTTCTGCTCTTCCCACTCCCAATTCACTGACTGACTCCACAATAGTTCATCGTGACAACAAGAATGCTATAAAACCTCCCAAGAATCCAGTTTTCATGCAAGAAGTAAGCACATTGGTATCCAACATCATTTCATCAAGGAGTGGGTAGCTTTGAAGGAGATTGAATTTCAATTCCTCTCCACCAAATTATAGCCAGCAGATATGCGGACCAATGCTCTTCCTAGGCTGAAATTTAATCAGCACAGACATTATCTTGGTCTACGAAGTCTCAACGCCACTTGAAGAACTTCTTTGACAATTAGATGATGAAGAATTAGATGTAGAGAAGTAGTTTTTAGATCTACGTTATGCACTCTAGAGTAAGAGAGGGTGTTAGAATAAGCTAGATTCAAAAGGTAGTGCTATATTACACAAGACTTGACATATGTATCAGTGTCCAAAGAAGTGTACTCAAATGATCAGTTATCCATTACACTACCGTTATAGATTACCGTTGTAGACTATTACATTATATGTACATGACTTCTTACTTATCAAAGGAGTCTGATTGATCACAAATCAATGATTCCAACATAGTAATCAACTTAGTTCCGTCCGAGATTATGGACGCCCTCGTGCTTTTGCTTCAAATGAAATATTTCAAATGAAAATGAAAAATGAAAAAACGTCGAAGGCAAGCATGCATGCAACGACATTGAGATGAAGCAGAGATTTCATATTCAATATTCATGATCGGAAGAATCTGCTTATTGTCTTCGATGTGACCGATTCGTATGATCCATGCTTCTTCCAGACCACGTCAATCTGCATCCAAACTCTAGCAGTTTGCCATAATGATACATTCTTGCAAATGAGTTAAATCTACCTAGTTTTTGTTTCAAGGTGAAGAGTAATAAATATCTAGCCATTGATTTTTCTAATGATTATAGTTGGGCACTTGGCGTGCAAAAGAGAGTAGAAGGTGGTTACAAAGTTCTATATTCATTGTTAAATCGATGTAGAAGATCTCATCTAGCGTCTTGGAGTTTTAAGAAAATTTTATTCAGAAGGTCAATGTTGCCAGTAGTATTATATAGAACCCAAGTGTTGAGTTTTGGTTGTAAGAAGACAGGTTGGGAGCATGTGGAGAGTATGCAAAAAATATGTCTACAAGAAGAATTGGATGTGAGAAACCAAACTTCATATGCTATTCTTCTCGCATAAACATGTAATTTACCTCTAGAGGTTGAAGTTATGTACTTGATCATCACTCACATCATAAGTATGAAATCTCTTTTGACCTGCAACTTTCAGCACTACGTGAACGTATTAAAGAGGAGTTTCTGAATATTATATAGAGCAAGCACGGCACCAAGATGCAGTTTCATCAATTTCATGTAAATCCTATGTTTGTTTATTGTGAACATGATTAACTCCTTGCAGGAATCTCTACATCCTTATTGACATAAGGATGTATTATATATTATTATATATGTATTATTGCTAGGCATAGAACTGCATCTCATAAGCTTGCAATTAAAAAAATAAGTTGGATTAATATTGATAGATTATGCTACCGTGGGTACATTGAGGATGAAAAGCATCTATTTGTTGCTTGTTCTAGATAAGATGACATTAGACTTACTCATAATATAGATATGGAGAATTTACATTTTTTATTACAATTAGTTACTTTTTAATATTAGAGAAATTAATAGTTATTTATATGCTCTTGGCACTAACCTAGAGATTGGACTTTTCCTCTGATTGTGGTTTTAGTTTGTATTGAGTTTTTCCAACCTTTTGGTTCCCGGGGTTGGTATATTACCATTTCAGACTTTTTGACACTTTGTCTCCCACGGGCTTGGTTTTACCAACGCGAACAAGCAAGCTGCGCGATTACACAAAGCATTTGTAACCGGTCGCTTGCGCATGTAAACATTGCACTGCTCGAGATATCTTACACCTTCACCATGATGCCGGTGTACAGATCTGACCACAAATTGTGAAACTGAGATAGAATCGTTACAAGCATACGGGCTTTGGACGAATAATTGTGCATCTGAAATATACGGACCGACTTTTGAAGAAAGAAAGATGATAATTTCGTCGTCATTATCGAGCAGCTTTTAATTCACAATATGCACATTATATCACGAGTCCATTGATTTTGCTGTAATATCTATTAACAACCGGCCATCCTTAAGTGAGTCACGGGGCTCACACATGAAGCTCAGGTTGTAAACTCAGCTGCACTGCTTTCTGGCCTGCAATGGCGCCTGCTCTGTGTAAGCGGTCGGAGGAAGGCGAGGTGAGACGAGCAGTTTGAGGGGATGGGCCATCGACAGCACCACACCGAACTTCTCTGCCAGGCTGATGTCGTCAGGTTTCATGCCCACGGGAAGCGAGAAATTGCAGGTGTGCATGAGCTGAGCCAGAGTGAAGTGAGCGACGAGCGAGCCCAGATTCATACCGGGACACATTCTGCGGCCTGCGCCGAAGGGAAGGTAAGCGAATTCCTTTCTCTTGTGATCCAGCTCGCCATGCAGCCATCGCTCGGGCCTGAATTCCAAAGGATTGTCCCACAATTTGGGATCTCTGTGCAGAGCGTACAGGTTCACGAAGGCTGAGGTGTTTTGGCGGACATCATAACCTCCCACTTGCGTGTCCTTGGTGCAGACGTGAGCTACTGTCACTGGCGAGCCAGGGTGCAGTCGCAGTGTTTCTCGTGCCACTGCGCCCAGATACGCCAAGTTCTTCATGTCTGATTCGTCCACGAGCCTTTCCCTGCCCACTACATCGTCCAATTCCTGCTGGACTTTCTTCATTACGTGCGGGTGCTTCATCAGATTGCACATCGCCCAAACGACCAACAGCCTCGTTGCGTCCGTTCCTGCGAGCAGAATATCCTGCCAAGAGTAAAATTATCATTAACTCATTCATTGTTCATTTCTCATTGCTCATTCGACGTAGGTCCACATTGAATGTGGCGAGGACAGCTACATTCATGTTTCTCTACTCCATGAAATGACTTCCGGGATTGAATCCCTCGTGCACCCAAGACGAGTTCCTTCTAATTCCTCGTACCCTGGAAATTGCTTCCTCAGGTCAATTCTAGTGTGAGCATCTTCGACTCCCTGACAATGTGGACAGGATGGCCTCCAGGACGAATGGGAGGATGTAAAACTTAACAAGACCAAAAGTTTCCTCTTCCAGGAGAAATTTCTAAAGAGATCTAGGACTGAAAGATGAACTCAAACGCACGAATGGGTACCATCGCGATCAATTCGTGTTGTGGGTGGGGAGAGAGCATCATGAGGCTTACAATGACTGGCTAACCTCACTGCACCACGTTCTGGCTACTGAAACCTGTCGAATTTCATGCCCTCGGATGTGAGGAAGTTCTCGAGGAAGAAACAATCTGGGCATGAGGTAGACAGTTCTCGATCTCAGGGCATGAGGAAGGTGAAGGTGATTGGGTTCGTTTGATGTGCGAGGAGTAAATCTCTCTGCATCTTGAAGAAAAGCAGGTGAGGATGAGAGTGCAGTGCTTGACAACAAAGAGGTTCAAACTAGAAGGAGCCAGTGCAACGTACGAGCAAAAGTGCCTTGATGTCGTCGTCTGGAAAGCCATGAGCTTCGTGGGATGCATCGGTCTGAAGGCAGAGCAAAACATCGAGGAAATCAGAGCTTTCGGCCCTCGGATCTGCCCGAGCTGCAGCTCTGTGGCGGTGTTGCTCGATGATTTTCGAGAGGCATGTGTCAAGCTGGACCCGAATCTTCGTCAGCTGGCCCTCAAATCCGTCCAAGTCGAACTTGCGCAGACTGGGAAAGCTATCGCCGATGCCCGACGTTTTCATGGCAGTCAGAGCAGAAAAGAGCTTGTGGATGTTCTTCATCTGATTCTCCTCTTCTTTCTCGTACTGCTCCGTGGAATAGAACGTTCTGTTGAAAATCATTCGCGTCAGCACGCAGAAGGCCGATTCCTGCAATAATTCCTCGACGATGAGCTCTCGTCCGCCATGACCTTCTTCTATGATTCGATTGACGGTGTACAGCACTTCCTGTCTCCTCGACTCCTGAACATCCACACGAAGATCCATCAGCTCACTGGTAACTCACCTGCCATATGCCACCCATATGCTTCGAAGCATGCTTTCCTGAACATCACTGCGCACGAATCCGGACTAAATTAGATGAGGGAAGAGAGCTTACAAGCAAATTCTGAAGAGACTAAATCACCAATCGATCGACTGCAGAAGGAGAGGTCGAATTGAAACCTGATAACGAAGTGCATGCAGTGCTCTGCACAGAATACAGTAGGAATGGAAGCAAATTCTGAAGAGATTTGAAATCACCAATCGATCGACTGGAGAAGGAGAGGTCTAATTGAAACCTGATAACGATGTGCATGCAGGCAGTGGTCTGCACAGAATACAGTAGGAATGGATCTTCTGGGCTCATATTCGCTGCGAGATTGGGATGAGGATGAGGATCAGAGCGTTTTTCCCATACCCTAAATTGCTGAATTCGTTTCGGGCCTAAGAGCTCGACGGCGAGAACTTTCCTCATCAAGCGGAACCGATCACCCAACGGAGCGAAGAGCAAATCGCGGCCGAAGAAAGCGACTTCTGCCTTGATATTGCTCGGACGCGAAGCGAAGATGTGGTCTTGCGTTTCCAGAATCTCCTTGGCCAGCTCTGCAGACGAGATCACCAAAATCTGCACTGCGCCGAGCTCCAAACGCACAATCGGTCCATACTCGGCAGCAAGCCTGAGAAAATTCAGATGCGCTGGAGTGGTGCCCATCACGCTCGGCAGATTTCCGATCACAGGCCATTTTCGGGGTCCAGGCGCTAGTCTCAGCCTCTCGGATCGGAAGAAGCGTCTGACGATGAGCGTCAGCAACAGAGCGGCACATGCTGCAACAATGTCCAAATTATGCCTCCCGAGCCAGCTGCGAAATTGGAGTGCATCGACTTCATCAGCTTGCAATCCTACCATCGTAGCTCTCAAGCTCAGGCTCTCAAGCTCAGGGACAGGCCAAGTTCTAAAGCTCTGCTCGCTCCCAGACGTGCTTTCGGCCATAGAACGACATCAGTGTCGCTGATTCTGCATATATCAACGAGAAAAAGTGGCCAACAAGTAGATTAGGCAAAGTGGCAAGGGCCTTGAATCTGGCACAGTGGCTGGCCCCAATAATTCCACCATGGGCAACATGTACAGACAAGAGACCAGCCAACTTTGCATCGACCAAAGTGATTGCAGTCGGCAAAGCAAACACTTAGCGTATACAACAGTATTACTCTTCACCAACATTTCATTAGGTGATACCCATGCAGCCTTTTATGGCACATATGCCGCCACCTTAGATCACCGGGAAAGACAGCTGAGTTGAGACGCATCGTGAAGGTCGGTCGTATCACGTGTCGATTTCCCTGAACTCTCTAGAGCTGGGACCCTGCCTTTCTCTGAGGATCAGATTTTCACGATCGACTTGAATCTGATCTACTGTCATGTTATGAACCTTGAAAGGCTTGAGAGCTTTTCATCGACACTCTCATTGTAACGTAATCTCATGAATTCTATCAGGATTACCAAGACCGCTCGTTTTCATGTATCTGGTCATCATCAATGAGATCAACTGACTTGAAGTCGAGAACAAGATGCAAATGTTGTTTTTTTTTTCCTCGTCGAATCAGGCTTTCGATGTGGATATATTCTTGTTCCTCGGGCTGCTGCTGCTGCTCCCATGCCTGAACGGTTTGTGGCTGCACGTGAAGCTCACTTCAGGCACGTCTTACAATTTTCACAACGAAGCAATGTCGTTCTAAATCTAGCTGAAACTTGTGTATTCAATGCTTTGTTCCCTCGATGTTATCTGCTGCTTGCTCAAGAACGAGCTCAATCAATTGTGGGTTTGAGTCTAGTGCGCCTGGAAATCTTGACTTCCAAGGTAGCCACGAAGATCTCGAATAAAGGCCCCAGTCGTGATAGGCCCAACCAATACGGAGGACTCTGCAGCCACTGATTTCCAGACTGAACCTGTCTGTCTTGTCGTTATGGACCGATCCATATTTGCAACACGAGTCGGAATGAGGTCACCCACAATTTCATTGCAACTTTTACGATGAGGTCACCCACTGCCATTTATATATGGGTTCCCACATGGCAGTCAAAATTTCAAGGCTGGACAGCGTCAATAAAGGGACAAAACGAATCTTTCCATTTTATATCCTGATAATCATGTCGACAGAAATTTGTTATTAATCATCATAGATATATTTTATGCACACATTTGCATGACTGAGTCAGTGGTTAGTGATTGATCATCTCCATTACCAATATATTTTACTTTCTCTGACAATCTTTGTGATAAAGGTACATGGAACTAGCAGTTGTGGTAACTAGTCCCTTTTCTGTTATGGAGTTTGTCACAAGGAACTCTGTACTGAAGCTCCACTTGACCGGTCTTGAGACCCCATGGAGTCGAGTCGAGTCGAGTCCACAGGGTGATGCAAGGATCTGCAGTTTCCATGCCAGGGAAGAATTAGATTTGCTGACGGGTGAGGCCCCAATCTCCGAGACGAAAAACAAATTCTCTATCGGTTCGAGATTGTTGAACGCCCTCTCCCGGCAGGTCCGGGGGGCGCGAGACCCGATAGTCACCTCTTGCATGGGCTCGTCGTGCTTTGGTATGGTCATGGCATCTGTAAATCTCCTGTAAACTGGTTTGTTGTAGAGCAAAGCATTCCAGTGCTGCAATGAGCACGTTCCTACTGCAGTTGTATTACAAGATGGACCGAATCTGCATAATCCTGTTGCACAACAAGACTTACTGCTGTTTCGATTCAAGGTATCCGCAGAGATCAGTCAGATCGCGGTGCCTGATATTGAGGTACATTTCGCTTTTGGGTATCGCAGTCAAGTCGCCTCTTCCACATTCAGCTACCGCTGAATTCAGTTTGCTGTGATGAATATTCATCGATCCAAGAGGTTCCCGTAATGGTCTCAAACGTGAGTCACATTTGCAGCTCAGTGAGCGGAAGCAGATGTCGAGCTGCATTCATCGGGTCACCGACCTACCGTGACTAAAGAGAGAGTCTATCCAGCCTCTCCATCCTGATCTCACAAGGCAGACATGAACCCGCTGCCTTGAGAAAGCTAAGGCGGGCGATTGGGCGAGCCATATTTTGCTAGCTGCTTGAAAATGGCGGTGGTATATTGAAGGGATCAGCGAAGAAGAAGAAGAAGAAGAGGGCTGTGAGTTGTACTCTTGGAGAATCGGCTGGACACACTCCACGCACAAGGTTCTGTCACTGGGAATGCCGGCGAGCAGCCGAGAGAAGTTCGGAGCTCCTTTGGCGTAAAGTTGCTGGCATCGCATGTCATTGCGGTTATCGATGTGCAGAGGGCTCCACGAGCATTTCTCTCCCATGTGCAAAAGTAACGAGAGTTCGCCTCAAAGTTTATAGCTGGAAATGAAACCACATGTTTTATTTCTTCCCATCTATTATATAGCCACTTAGCCCTTTCTCACTGCTTGTGTAACACATTGTATTTCCTGCTGGTCTAGCTTTCTGACACTCCATCTCACTGGGCTGGACATCAAATAGGATCATGGCAACTGGGACGATGGACCCGCTTACCAACGTGACTGGCAGCAATCTGTTTTCTCCATTTGTAGGCACAGGAGGAAGATAGAGAAAATACTGCATAGAAAGAAATTCGTTCCAGTCACGACCTGTAATCGCGGTGAGAACTTAAGTTACAAAATGTAACTATGCTACATCTAAAAACTCACTTGCTGCCCTCGTGCACATTCTAGCCTCGCTGTTGAACACTCATGCATACTGTTTCTAACCTCAAGAAACGTCGCCAATCTTCGGCGTGCTGACCATGACAAAGGAATAGATTCTCCGTCACTGTTTTATCTTTTGTTGGTGCGCGGCCGGGTCTTTGATAGAATGTAGCATGAAGTCACGGTGTGTCCCTTGCTAACACCCGAGTGATTAGAACGTGTCCTCGTTGTCAACTCAGAAACAATGTTTGGAACTAGAACTTGACCGGGAAGTCGGAGCTGCCAGTGTGGCCATGTGTTTTCCATGCAAGAGCGATGTAGAATTCTGTGTCTGAAATAAAAAATATCTACCATATAGGGATCACCACGCTCTCCGTAAGAAATTACGATAGCACCAACAGGTTGGAAACACGTTGCTCAGAAAACTAGCAATTACCGGTCATGATTCCGTTTGGTGTTTGTGCAAAACGGATTCCCGATTTTTATGACTAGTGCAAACACACGATGTTTATATTCAAGTTTTGCAACAAACCTCACGGGTTTGAAATACTAACGCACTTCCAATCATTCACACTTGGTGAAGAATTGTACAAGAACTCAAAAAGACTTCATTTACACTTAGACTGAAACAGAAAAAACAAGAAGAAAAAACAAACCATAAAGATTCCAATCCCATTAGCGCAGAAGAACTTTTTAACAGCACGAAGTTACAAAATATTGCACAGAACGATCAAAGAAGACCAGTTTCTGCTTTTATCCCTTGAATCCTTTATTTACTGTCAAGTCCTACAAGTGCTGGTCGATAACATTTACTAAAATTGGGACTAAAATCTTCCAGAATACAGCTGGAAAGATTGGAGGAAGCAAAATACAATCGCTACAGTCTGGAACGTGAATTTGATAATTACAAAAGAAAGAGCTACTTGTAGAAGGAACAGTTTGCCGTTCCAAATGACAACACATAACTGAAACGATTGTTAAAAAAAACCCCAACGGGACGAAATCTGAGCAGAAGGCTGATACAATCCAGCAACAAAATTTATATTCTGTCCTCAGAAGGCAGAACCAAATGCATGTATCCGAAACTTGAACTACCGCATAAACACTCAACCACCCAAAGAATATAGTCAATCTTCAGAGCGGTGTGTAGTAATTTCGTCACGAACCATCAGAGCTCTTTCACTATTCATTTTTCCAGGTTCATGCTGTACACTTCTCGCTCGACGTATGGGAGCAGTGAAGAAAGAATGAAGTGACGCGTTGAAAACACGCCACAATACCATACAAAATTTTCTTTATTGACCTACCGTTATTGATCAGAAACTTGTTGCCACAAGATGATCATCAAAACCTTGTCGCCTGCATTAACCTGATTGCAGTCGAACAGTTTCGGTTGATTGCAATTTGCTTGTTTCATGAACTGTCGTTAGTTCAGTTCGACAGCTGCGAGTATGAAAAGTTAAGTTAAGTCTCTTAATCCACTGAGATAGATGCCTACAACACGTTACCTTCACGGCGAGCCGGGCACACCATTTACGTCTTCAGATTTCACGGAGGCGACAGTACTACCTGCCTGCATGACTTTGTAGTCACCAAAGTCAAGCTTGTGCAGTCTCACAGCAGCTAGCACCTGCTCTGGTAACTCATCTTGCTTTGTCGCCTACCACATCAAAATTACAAAAACAGAAAACGATTCAGAGATGAATCAGTCAACATATATTCGAGTCAGAATACTACCCTTTACTCATTGTGTAGAGGTTTATATTCGAGTCATGCACTGACTCCTCCTCCAAATCTCCATCCAGAAAATCTTTTGATGTCTTACATATGTAACACCAGCAGTACCTTATGATGCTGTTGATTCCACTAAAATAACCATACCTTGGTACTACTCCCCTTTAACCCTTAGGTTATAACAATACTATAGATAGCACTTGAAAATCAACTTGAAATTCAGTTAGAGTGATCACTTTATTCCCACTTATTGTCAATCCAACACTCAGAAATTGTTATCCTTACTTGAGAGAATGATCACTTGTAAGGTGTGCACACTTAAACTGTATTCTGACAATATATACTTAATATATACAGCTCACAATTCAACTTGAGTTCCAAATCTCGAAACAAAATACTAAAGAGACTCATGGGTAGCAAAGTCTACTTTAGACCTTAATCAAATGAGTACTTACCTGTGTAAAAATGATTAGACAATCTCTGAATTTTATAACTTCTATCAAACTGCTGCATACATTCAAAAATTGATTCTCCTCTTTAACAATACCATCATATTTCAATCTGCATTTTACTAACACGAGATCGCGTAAATACAGTAGTATTGCAAAGCATATCAAATTTCTTAAATATCATAGCTTAAGTGCGAAGGAGGTTGATAAAAGTTGAGAATGTACCTGAAGTGTCAAACCGATATCTAGAACGCAGTGTTTTAAACGTTCTCTGAACGTATCAAATCCTTTCCTCGCGATGTAACTAAATCGGTGAACGTCCAAGTCCACCTCTAAGTAATTTGCCCCCTGAAAACACCATTGCCACAAACTTAAAACATGTAGACGCCGTCGTCCCTTCCAAGAACAAATCTTAAGGAGACTCATGCAAACACTTGCCAATGCTGTGATGAGAAACTTCCTTGAGAAATCACGAGAATAAATAAGGGAACAGATTAAGCTCCGTGATGACGAATTTCAAATTCCATGATCACACATCCGTTTCAAATCGTTCACCCAATCTACCTTTCTCAAGAAACAGTGAGAAGCTTGGGATCTAGCGTTGGAGAATTACCCTATAAAAGAAATGTTGCGGTCGAGACAAAACAGGTTTCTCGTTGTAGTTCACAAGAAGCTTCTTTTCAGCTCCACTGAAATGTATCTCTTCAGGATTGACCAACCGCGCAACGACTTTCAACCTATCTCTGAAAGGATGGTGTGACTCTCCTACAAAAGCTTTCACTTTCTCCACCTCATCGGTCACAAATTTCTGCACCGCATATTTGAAGGTAAAAAGCCTGTCAGATTGATGAAGTCCTACCACGATCTCCACAACGATGAAGTCCACAAGGACTTTCGCCTCATAACATTCTTAGTGTATATCATTCTTCTATCTACAGCTATCAAACTTGTCAAATCCACACACGATAGAATGTAGTCCATGATTGATTCGCTGATAGACTAGAACAAAAAAAAATTCTTGAGAAATAAGAGTGTGCACACCCTTAGCATATCCTTCACGAAGGTAGGTGCTTGTTTCACTGACTCCTCTGAAAGCTTGAAATATAAAACTAGACTCAATCCGTCACCATTCCCATCGCCCATAAAAATTGCAGGTGGGTATAATGGAAGCTGCAATGTGCAAACAGAAAAAATCGTCAACAAAATTATCACTTAAGGGTCATAACCGCACAAAAAACAGCAAGTCTTCAATGAGCCCGTTACTAGAGGGGAGAAAATGCTTACCTGGACATTGACGATGAAAACACCTGGAAGCGTATCTGCTCCAAGTGCAACATCTTGGGATGGGAGCTCCACATACTGCGCAATATGGTCAAGTTTCTGCGATGACATAAATAGGTCGACTCCTATTGGAACAAACAGAGAATAGTTTGGAGCAGCAAACTTCTTCTTGTCCCTGTTCGTATCAAGTCATTAGGTACTCGTGAGACAGGGAGTCGGGAACAACTATAAACTAACAGATGGACAAAAATGTTGACCAAAGCCCTATCATGTCGGTACATATCCCGAATATCTCAAACACCCAAGTGTCCAGCTCAATCTTTGTCAGCGACTCCCGAGACATACTTGACTCCTACTCAATTGTAAAATAACAGAAATCATTTATGAATGTAGAAACAACTAAATCTGAAGATAGTCGAATGAGACGCATGAGATTTTTTTCGGATAGGCCACACCGTAAACTCTAGCAAATAATAAGAAGTTCAACTTTAAAAGTTTAGAACAGTGATTGAAGCAATATTTTAGTTTAGAACAAATGGTTCTGACAACACTTAAAAGCGAACAAGAGCTTGAACATCGTGGCACTTCACAATTTCCTTACTTTGAATAGTGCTTTCCCCGGAGCTTAAATACTGAAGGCTCCACCTCAGACCAGCACCCATCTACAGGTTTGTCGGAGGAACATCGTGGCACCTGAGATCCAGCTAGTGGTCTCTCAATGAAGTATCTCGCGGAAGCTGTTCAAAAAATAGAACGTCCACAGTGATCACAATATCCGTTACAGGAAAAAATGAAAACGAAGAACTCACTACTGGACAACGGCAATGATGCACAGATTCTCATCTCATATATTCAGACATGAAACAACCTTGAAATGAGTGTAAATAGGATGAGAATAAATAGGAGCGCTGAGAGGTTTGACTCCGGACTTGGTGTAAGTTGATTGCGTGCAACTGCTATATCTGCTGGAGTACATAATCGCTACTAACATATAATATGAGCTGAAATGATCGGTTATACTTACAATCGGGATCATCTTCATGATCGTCATGTTGTTCCGTAGAGGTGTGACGCTTGAATGAAAATCTCATCAGACTGCTCTTCTTCTTAAAGTTCCGAGGACTGATAGGACGGCTTCTGCTTTGGGTCATAGTTGTCCGTAAGCGGGGTATACACATGTTATCAAAGACCCCTCTATATTCACTGGCCTTCGGACTTCCTCCGGTCCCTGAAGGTGCGACGGGTGCAGAATTACGTCCAGATGAAGTATCTGAAATGATGACCTTTCTTCCCGGAAGATCAGACACAGACTTTTCAAATTTTCCTCGGTTGGCAATGCTTTTCTCCTCTGCGGATGTTGACTGAAAGCTCTTTCTTGGTGAACGATCCAAGGATTTACTGCCGACTTTGAAGCTCTCTGGGGTAGTACCCGTTAATGCAGCTATCCCATTTGGTATCCCTTCATCGTTGGCATGGTATGTTGAAGAGATAACCTTTCCAGAAGAAACACCGAAATGTTTGTCAGCCTGCGCCATTCCAACCTGCAATTCTGCTATGGAGGGCCGGTGGCCAGCGGTTGCATTGTTCGAGGGATATGAGAGGCTGTTACCAGCTGAATTTGAAAATTCTGCAAAGGTAAAAACAGAAAAATGTTATGTCACGGGACGAGACCAATTAATAACCAATTAATAAGTAAAAAGTCTACAAGTGGACATAGTGATCACTGCTCAATAACCCAAGAAAGACATGAGCAGGGGCAGCCAGAAAGAGGGCTAATACCCAAACGCGAAAAAGGTTGGGACACTCCGTGAGGTCTGAGTCAGTGCACTGCTTGCACTAACCTTTCTAGCACGAATCCAGCGGCCTGGAGGGACGGGTTTATCACGTTATGAGAATGAAAAGTTTAGACCAACGGTGATCAACGACAAAGCAAGTACTCTGAACAGAGGACTTTTGGGAGTCAAATTATAATTCCCCCAGGCGACGCTCAAAGTGACACTAAGAAAAAGGACACCGTATCGCGAGGTTAAGGCCATTTACATTACGCACACATAGGACTATACAATAAACCAGAAAGCAGAGCAGATCACCTTCGTGCTCCTGTGTCTTCAAAGTCTGCTTACCATTAGAGGGTGTGTTGCTGTGATCCTAAATCGTCAAGAGAAAGACCATGCTCAAGTGCGTTACATGCCCACTTTGACAGGTGAAGGTCAACAGCGTATGGTCTGTACTAATCTGGAATCTGAAAATTAAGCGTTGGTAAGGGAGAAGAACAACAGCTCAATACTTGTAGAGTTACACGAATTGATAGCCTCCTGGTAGTGTAGAGCTGAATGTTTCTCGTCTGATTCCACGTTATTATGGTATTTTCTTGTGAGTCTCCTATGAGTCTTGCAAAGCCATGAGTATACCTCTGAACTGTACTTTGATGTCTATGTCGCAGCGTAGTGTCAGTTAAAAATAGGCTCGGCATCTCAGGTGAGTTAGTGTCAATGAAGTAATACCAACTGATTGTTCATATCATAGACTATTGTTGCACTAATCAATCTATAGGCCCCTTAGCTGTGGGATGCCGGGCACATCTTCCAGACGGGCTTTGACAGGTCCAATTTAGAGCTGTGTCTTCTCTTGTCCTTTGATCTTGTCATCAAGAAAAATAATTCAACTGTTTTGCAAAATGGAACTAGACGTAGGAAGAGAAAATCAAACCTCAGCCTACAAAAGGATTAACTGGAAGTTATCCCATTTGCACGAGCAAAGGACACCCTTGACAGAGAGCGTATCAAAATCCAGCAAGAGAATGAGGTTACAATTAGAGTGGTGGGACTACAAGCTATTGTCTGGAAAAGAAGAGTTTCTGAAATTGACGACTGTAATTGAAGGTAAACAGCCACTATGTGGTTTGGCAACACACACTGGTTACCTTGCATTAGACAGACTAGGGTTTAGATCAATTAAAATGCCGTGTACAGCAATCTGCTTGGAAGCTATGGACATAGTTTTCAAGCCATGTCCATAGCTCACGTACTGGTCAAGTTGCAAGGACGTAACAAAGTGCATATATTATGGTATTGAGCTATGAAGATGACAATGTGAATGAACTCGGCCTCCAGACTAAGGATGATTGTGAAAAATGAACATGTGTGATACCCGGATCACTGCTCGCTGCTCACTAATTGCAGGAATATAAGCTAGCCCGAATCAGTACGGACGGCTCCCTGTACTGCTTTGTATTGTGAACAATTTCACGGCACAAAAGGCTAAAATGTTTCTCTAGCCCCATACCATCTGAGAAACCTAAACGCTTGGTAGTCTCAAAATCAAGTTTGAAGATTCAACGTACCAACGAACACTATTAGCTACAGTAATATTTGAACTACAAATCTACAATAAGTAACCGTGTCCAGGTTCAGCGTACAGAAGACCACGGTCTTTTGTGCAGAGCGTCCATAAGAAATGGGTTGAGCGCTTATGATAGCGTTTGCGCTGAGCAAGAAGCCGGAGCTTGACGAATGTAATGAAGATAAAAGCGATAAGCTGACAGAGTTTGCGAATAAAACATCAAATACAGAAATTGATGGAAACAGCAAAAGAGGAGAAACAGTAAACTTACCACCACAAACACTCATGTACTCATCATCTGAGTTGAATGACACGTCTGTTTCAAAGAATTTCTCTTCTTTGCTTCCTGCCAGTCTCAAACAAACATGATAGACAAGTTAATCCTTCACAGTTATCGCAGTAAGTTCAGAAAATGCAACCCGTGCCTCGGGCTGTCGGACCCATGCTACTACCCACCTTAGCACAAGCCCCACTAAACTCACACAGCTCTAAGGTTGGGCAGGAGTGGAACACAACTGAGGAGGCGACAAGGTTAGTACACATGATAGCAAAACATGTGTACTGGGCGACAAACCACAAATAACCAGAGAATATGTGACTCCGTCACCACCAATCAATTGAAGCACATAAGTATAAAAGATGGTGTCTGATCATAAAGCTTACTGGTAACTAAAAGGAAAAAGAAAACCATGACATGAGACAAGCACAAGAGACACAAAAGCAGTAGACAGATCACTAGGAATGGGATGAGTAGTTAGTGGTGTGGCTATCTATTGCAACCAATTAGAGAATAAAACATCAGTAAGCCAAATGCGATGGTCGGGAATTTCAACACAATGTCGACATTCAACAGTAAGAAGTTGAACCTTCACTCAAGCTGTACACAAATGACCAACACAGATATTCAAAATCACGTTCAGCTGCAAAGCATCGCATCTACGAAAAAAAGGACAAATTTATAGCAAGACCCAATACTTTAAAACCTGCTACTTAACCTCATAGCTTTGATGTTTAGCTGGCAAATCTGCTAATTGTGGTAACTATGATACGTGCAAATTAACTGGTGAAAGAAACTGCAGTCAGTACGAATAACGATATGTCGTCAGAAAAATTCCAGATTAGTATACAATACCTGCCGACTATACCCAATCATTTTTTGCTCCTGCTCACGCCTTTGCGAGGGACTAGACATTCATACCCAACCAAGCTTCAATACGAGCCAGAACTGACGCTCCAAAGAGTACAGTTTGCTGATTAGACGTCCATAATCAATAAAATACGGCCAAGACGGGCAGAAAAGTAGCTCAGCACAAGTTGTCCATCCCTTTAGACGTGAAGTTGCTACCAATGCCAGAGATATTCAACAACGATTCGGCTGTTCCTTTTGTAAAATTCGACACATTATGGTTGTTCTGCTGAGCTATTTCTACTCAAATTACGTCCACAAACACGTATTTCTCCCTTCCCCACCATAAGGGAAAACAAAGAAACGAAGAGAGGAAATACTCGGGGGAAAAATATGTGAAGCGACGCATGAAGATATGAACAATCAAGGAAGGTGATTCGGCTGAAATGCCTAAGGAACAGTAAAGAATGTTAAAACACAAAGATAAATCCGAAAATTGGAACCAAAAAAATACCATGAGAATTTCCTGCTCCAGAATGCTGATGATCCAAGTAAGGATGCCCGTGCCCATTTGCGTTAACTTGTTGTACAGGCCGTTCAAGCAAAAAGGCATTGCCTGGTCCACCGTCAGCGAACTCCCGTTTTGCATTATGCCCTATTTCGTACTTGTGATTTGCAACATCCAGGGATGATTGATTGACGGGTATGACAAAGTTAGCGGATCCTCTAGATCCTCGCCGGGCTTTTGCAAAAGCATTTCTAGTACGCCGACGCTTGGATTTCCCAGGAGTGGAAACGCACCCTCCCATGCTTTTCGAGCCTCCTCCCACAACGTGGCGTCTACACCTATTACAAACTCCACGGTTCCTGCATCAAATCGTCTCCCGGATTGATATCTTGAATTTCACGACCACTCCTAATGTTCCTTGCCTGCTTCCAATTCTCTAAGAAGCACATTCCTTTCTGCTTCAACGGTAGCCACCTCAAAGGAAAGAGACATGAATATATCCGGCATCGACATCGAGATTGCAAGCGTCTGTACACTCCTCTACTCAAGAACAGCCCTCCATTTCAAACCACATTTGTCCGCGCTCATCTGGTTTTTGATATCTCTCCCCAGCACAGAGGAGAAAATTATATATGCTGCAGCCCTTGACATATTATGCTGAACCCGTGACGCTCCTGCTGGTGTAGTCTCCAATATTCTCCAGCCTGAACATTCACAAAGCCGATGTATCTTAGGAAAACAGCGAATGGCAGCAGATTTCTTTCTCAACTTAACAACTCCACTCTCTCGAAATTGCCCTCGACGCAAAATAGTCCGACACAGATAGAATTCAGAAATTTGACCACTTATGACCAAAGAAAGTGCTAGCGGCATTGATTGAACCAGAATCGCGAAACTAAATCTACAAGAACACCTTTCTATATCTCCAAAATTGTAAGGGAACGGCCCCTCAAGACACGAATTCGATTTCCCCCTCACCGAACAATTTCACAGATGGATTAGAAGCCTAGTACTGTGCTGGCAACTCGTAGTCCCCGCTTTTGTGTAAGAAAGAGACCAACTATTCCAATGCCTCAGCTTACCGTCAGATACCACTGAGCACATAATCGTAAGCGCGTACTGATTCTAGGGCTCATCCCTGCTAAGAAATCTAACCATCGTGTGTAGGTTAGAGCCAGACAGCATGTTGGGTGTTGACTTCATGATTATCCCTACGTAAAACTTGACCATCCAAACATTCAAGAAAATAGATTTCCAGAGATATGCTACTCATGCTCTGCAGAAGTGGCAGAGACGATTGACTAGGGGAGGGTGATACACACGAGACACGAGACAGTTTCAGGAAAGAACATATAACAACCGACCCTCGCAGCACATGATCCAGGAAAGCCACATTCGATGCCTCGTTGTCCTCGGAGTACCATCTCCACATTATGCGAATATGCTAACGACGAACGGAAAACATCGCATACTTAGGCATCTCCTCATCAGCTTTTAGAAGGTGCTAAAGAATAATTATACACGGCAATCACCACATTAAAAACCGTCAATGAATCAACGATGAAAATCACCCAGACTCGTGAATTCTGTCCGTGAAAAGTCTACCCGGTCCGAGTGAAGAACTTACAGGCCAATGCAATTGCTCCATATCACGGCTCGAGTTCACACAATCGGTCCAATCGTCTCAATCGCCTCGATCTGTTTCCCGCACTCTACTTTCTCGAGCTCGCGAGATTCATGCTCAAGTCTCCATCATCCAAAAGCGCTCCAGATTGCGCGCTGCGCGGACCTCGGCATGCGCTAGTCGCAGCAAGGACATTCCTCTATTCCGTTCGCGGATCGCAACGAAACTCGATCAGCTCCCTTGTTCGAACTCGTGATCGAGGATCGATGCCCATAGGCTCCTTCAACCGAAATTTCACCGTCTGCTTGCGCGCAAACACCTCAGCTCTCTGTGTGTCACATCACATGCAGCCCTGCTTTACACTTGTCGCATGTCAGGACATTTCACCCTTTCTTCCAAATTGCATTTTCTTATTCCAGAAAATACTGCCATTAATTAATATTGACGTACCCTGCACAAAGACAGTCTTTCCAAAGGTACTCCCTCTTCTATTGACGGCAGATTTTCCGTACATTATGTGACGTCAGTCCACGTGCACAGCGGATAAAGCTGCCGATTAAATTAATCCTCTTTTATTTTTCAGTAAATTTACATCCATGATTTTCTAAATGAGGCATTTTCCAAGTGTATTCCACCTCCATTTACCGGATGAAGATCTGCTTAGGGTATTGAAAAAATTCATATTATTTACTTGCAGGAACATCCCAAATCGGTTCCTCGCATGACCAACACAAGATGTGAGTTGTACTCGGAGGGACGAGAGCGGGTTTTGTCCGTGAAATCTCTTTTGGTTGACTCAAAATTGGAAGATTTTGAGATTAGCTTGTACGGTCGACGTTTCTAGGAAAATACAGAATTGCTCGTAGGACGATCCGAAGCACATTCTGTAAATAGATGGGGCAGAGAAGTATGTTTTGCGGCGCCCTTTCCTCACGATCGTGGAGGTATCAAGGGATGAAATGAATGACGTAAACGCGGTCGGAGGTTCTGGTCGTATATGAGGACTGAAGTGTCATGGAGCTGTACAGTAGATGACACGCGATACATCCAAAAGGGAGGAAGAAGTGATGCTGTAGAGCTCGTACTGGACCGGCCATCTCTGACCGAACCTACTTCGCCGAAATTCAGATCTTTTGTAGTCGAGTTTGAGTAGGAGAGAAATCTTTGTCCTCGTCCACTGCTGAACGATCTGTACAGTCGCTGCTGCAGACGTACAGGGGAAAAGCATTTTACTGAGCCAAGTCCCCGATGTCGAGATGTGGTTGCCTCACTCGGCAACACCGAGACATTCTTCTTTTCCTGAAGGGGCCATGCCATAAAGACAACGCCCGTGTCAAAAGCGGAAAGCTGTGCAGCCGTCACGACGTGAAAATGTTTAAAGAAGAAAGAATTCTCCACACGGAAGCGTGACACTGCGCATTTCTTAATTGCAGTACGACGGACCACGTTCCCATTGGCTCTCGTGCACATTCGCGTCTCGAATCGGCGCGAGTCGTGTCATCTGTCAAGATGACCAGCTTCGAAACTCGAAGAAAAATAGAAAAGAATTGACATGAAAATATAATATCTCCATCTAGGAACAGAATTCGGTACTCTCAGAGCAGTCTCCTACTTCCAGTGACTGCTGAGGCTCATGTAGTCTGTACTTCGTAGTCTGAGTGCAAGCATGCAGATTTTGCCATGGCTCAATTGCCAGTTTGAGATGTGGTCCTTGGACTGCTGCAAACTCGCGGACTGATTTTAGGGATTTCTGGAGTGTATATCCTAATTCCATCATTGCTATCTCCAAAGTAAAGCCTATGGTGTGCCTTTATCATAAGATATGCAGTTGGACTGGACTTTCGGTTAGCATGTTGCTGAGAATCCCAAAATATACTCCAATCTCAGAACCTCCAGCTGTTTCTCACATGTAAAAAAATCCATGGCGTGCATTTGTCTTCTGTCTCTCTATAGGATGCGTCGTCTACAGCTTTCGACAAGTTGCAGCACAGTAGCATACCTACGAGTGAAAGAAGAATATTGTGTTAGAAAAAGATTTGTCACTTATCTTCTTGTCGTGCACATACATCTTGTATGTGCACGACATATTGTATGATGTGAGATAGAATCTTGGAAAGTTTTCGCAATCAAAATGGTCAGTAGTTACTTTTTTGACAAAACAGATTTCAATGATATTGTTGAGCCGGACCACTTCTGTGACAATGTGGAACTAAACCGTAATTTTGAAATTGAAATCATTGTATCTAGAACTTAAAGAACATTGGTTCGAGTAGCCGATCGAATTTTAAGGATATGACTCTAATAGAAAATACTTCCGTCTGTATTTTAAGAGTTGGAGTAATATGGTGCATGTTTGTTTTTCCATGCCTGCAGTCAATGTCAATGAATGCGTAATTTTTTGGAATAAATTCGTCCTTATTATTAGGTTTCATTAAATTTTCTTTTTGATTTAGTTTTTATGTTTGATGTAGGTTTAACAGTTTTACAAACCTTTTAAAAAAAAGGATCTCAGGTTATCGTGTCATCAGCTGGGGGAGAGGTAATTCTGGGCCTTTCGCGGTCTTCTATCGTAAGTGTTCCAGAGACTTATTAGGGCGTTCCCTCGTGCCCATTCATGCAATAAAAGACAAAACACATCATGGTCATGTTTAGTTTGACATGGGAAAAAAAAAGGTAGATTATGATACTACGCTAGACCAAATTATCCATGGGAGTGATCTTTTGCTTAATTTTTCTCCTTGATGCTTAATAACCAAAGTATACTATCATCTTCATTATTCAGCATGTTATTTTTTACATTTTACCTCCAATTCAATTTGCGAATTCAAAATTAACTTCCATTAGAATTACAATCCAATAACTTGAAACTTCCGATTTATTATACAAGGATGAGCCAATGATACAGATATTTTTTCCTTAATTTTAAAATTTCGAGTTGAACTGTCAACTGGAATAATGTTCTAAATTTCTGAAATTGAAGTTTTAATTCACTTTTTTTTCATTCCAAATGTTTTTCTATAATTGTGATAGAAATTAATACAAGGATATTTTTATACATATATCCTCACTTTCATGTATCAGATACTATACAATTTTATTTTTGATGTAATTGTTAAGCACAAGACATTCTTCATTTGAAAATTATTTCTACAACTATTTTAGAAAGGAATTTCACAAACAAGAAGATTCTTGTTCATCTTTGTTTTACATGATCATTTGATTTTCATAGAAAATTTTCTTAAAAATTGCTATGAATTTGAATGGCTTTATAGCATCTTGAAGACATTGTCATATTATCACACTTATATTATGAGGTAATGACAGAAGTTTTCTGTATGATCTTTGATATGACAATATACTGTAGTTTAGCATTATTGTGAAATAAATAAGGTTGCTAAAGCTCAATTTGAAACAATGTTGTAGTGTCATGATGTTGAAAAAGATCCTAGAGATGTAATTTAACCACAGATATTTAGTTACAAGTAGAGTTGAAGCTGTTTTTGATGAAAACATAATGGAAAAAATTACCTGGTAGTTTGGATAAAGGTTGATAATTAGTCGGTCTACTTGAAAAGCTAGATACATTATAAATTTTAATTTTAGAAATAAAAATATTTCAGATTTCTAATACTAATGCTTCACCATCAATACTTAGTACATACATATTTATATTTTTCAGCATTGTAATGTGAGTTGTAAATTTAAAGAAATGTATAATAATTGATGATTTCATGGGTTAATCAAGTACCTCATTATCAAATTTGTGACGCATGAAGAAAAAGATTTGATAATGGAAATTAAGTCTTATACCAAGCAAGCTTATTTACATCAATGCTTTATGCATATGTCCTGAAAGCATAGACAATTCTAAACTTGTATTATGATTTTGCACAAAGATTGCGGAGCTGTTCAGGAAATAGTTTTTCTAAAAAAATACATACATTCGTTAGGGTCCACTGACAACCGTTCAAATAAGCAAGCTTGTGGATGAAACTTACAGTGCATATGTGAGGACAAAGGTTGAATAGTTAGTCATGTTGCTAAGGTTGAAGTTACATGGGAGATAAATAAGGGATATAATTTACTAAATAAAATTCTTGGGTTATAATGATATAAATGATTAGTTTGTTATATTATGCTAAGATCTTATATTTTTTTAATTCAAAAATTATTTTTAATCTCTCTTTATAATTAAATCCTTTCATTATAAGCTCATGTGAAGTTTGCATCTTTGTCCTAAAATCACTATTTATTGCAAAGAAATAAAAAATGTTTGAACCTGATAATTTTAAACCCTGAATAGATTGCTAGTTCAAATTTCACTACAATATGTTTAGTTAACATTTATTTAGTTTTAAAAATAATTTTTTAATTTTTTAACCTTTTTTATAATAAATTTTTTATATGTATACTTTTTCATATATCATTATTTCTTTATGATATACAAAAATATTTGTTTACATTGAAGACAAATAAACGTAGAATCAGTCTAGATATAAGTTAGTCTAAAAATCTTCATATCTTGAACAAAAATTCGATTCAATAAATGCAAACAATTAATTCTTTTACTTAACTCTTACATCAAAAAAAGTTTCCAAGTGATGTTCAATGCATCATAGTTCTCAATCATCTAATTAAACCTCATAATTTCAAGTAAATTGAAATTAGGAAATGAATCGTTATTTATTCAATTCGAAATACTTCATAGATTCTCCAGAAAATAATTATTAATATTAGTGACATTTCTTTAAATTGATAGATAGAATCTATAAATCACTATTTTCATTATAAATGCAAGAACTGAAAATGAATTGTTTATTATGAAAGTCATTTTTATGCTAAATTGTTTGAAATGATAGTGGGTACCCTTTTCCATTTTTAGTTTTTATCTTTGTGATTTGATAAGATATGCAAACATGTCATTCAATTTACAGTCAAATGTGATCGGAAAGGTGGCATGATGCCTATGCGAACCATGTGCATCCAACCATATCCAGAGAGAATTTGTCCTCTCCAGCTTCACACCTTCTCTCATCAATGTGCAAGAGTGTCTCGGTGATTGAACAATTCACATTACATTCATGCGTTGCACGACAGTAGTTACGAGGTAAAGGAGTTTTAGGTTCCACTCTTTACAGGAGTTCAGTTCACAGGGATATAGATAATATATTTCGACCTCATAACTGGATGAGGGCTCTTTAATCAATCTTAAATAAAACGCAAGACCCTCGGGGACTACTCGACAACTACCGTCTATTCTAGCAACAAACCGTTAAGAAAATGGTGGTGAGAGTCCACTGAAAATGGCGTCCATTCATGTTCTCCTTGCCAAGTTCGGTGGACCCACCCTGTCGCAATAATATTGTAGTGTAACTCTTTTTGTTAGCTCATAAACTCTCCTAATTATCTCAACTCAAGATTTTTTGTGAAAATAATTCATTTCTAATAAGTTTGTAACAATTCACCCTTGTACACTTTAACCATTGTGTATGCCAACTCATGATTCCGAGGTACCCTGGTGGTAGCTGGCGAAATCCAGAAGCGAAAATCTCAATAGCTAAAGCTTGAAGTCACTGAATGATATCCGCACCAAGATCTCAATGTCGTCATAGACACACAATTGCTTACCCAACGCCTAAGTATCCAAAACCGTAACAACGTAACAATGTAACGGAATCGACCCTCCGTAGAGAACATGCTGACATATCCTGGCTCTCCTCGTCTACATCTCGAAGCTAACTTCGATTTCCAGATTCGTCTTGGCTTACGTTCGTCCGGGTAGAAAAGAAGATGAACGTACTGACCCAATTTTCGACATCCGATCGCACTCACTCAAGATACGGTCGAATGAGCTCGCAGCCGATGTGTAATGGAAGTGATGTAGTGGCTAACCCAGTCTTCGGTGACTATAAAATAAGAACGAATGCTAAATGTTTTGAGCTCTCGAGTACCTCCATCTCGATTCACTGTTTCGTTTGGCCTCCAGGGAACATTCCTCGATGCTTCCTTCACGGGAGGCTGGAGAATCACTCTACTATGAGCATGCTGTTGATATCATGTGCGGTACTAGTACACCGCGTGGTCTTGTTGAGCATTCTGAGTCTCAGATTCAGCATTCACAACTTCGGCCCATGCTTGAGAACCAATTGCAGGCTTACATCCGTGTCATTTGCTCGCAAGGTGGCAAGGAACATTGCCGGACTAGAGTAAAAACATTGTGAACTAAAACTCTGTATTCGCCCCATATTCATGACATTGTAAGGGAATGAAACGTGCATGTGCATCCGACGTCGAAGAGAGCTGACAGCGTACAGCTGGTGTGAAAAGATTCATCTGAATTCCCTTAGGCTTCTGGGTTGGTACTAAATCCGTCAAAACAGCCAACTACTTCAGCGGAAGAGCATCAAGCGAGGGAAAATTGAAGAGAGCTATGTTGCAAGGATAAGAGACTAATAGCAGAGATGGGTGATGTACAAAGAACATAATCAATGCCGTACTACTGGACTCTCGACTGTCGAACAGATATCTCTGAGAGCGATTTGAGGTTTTCCTAGACCGAGCAACAGTCCAGGCTGAAATTACGTCTCCAATAGAGTCAGACCTTACTCCAAGGGGGTTTGAAATGCCTTCCAAAAGTTAGTACGGTTTGGCCCATCTTCTTGACATGAACGTTTACTTGCTATTCATAATATCTGGGTCTAGTTCTTACTACCTTAGGCCATGATCAGAGGTCCAAGATGGTCCCTAAACTTTGCAGCGCGAAAGCAGATCTGTGATGCTCACAAACCGATTAGAACTAGGAAGTTGTGTATCACATTCCCCTCTGCAAGTGTAAAAATGTGTACATTACTTCCCTTCAATTAGTTACAAACCGGTCGACAAGCTTGCAGTTTTCAATCGGGAGAGAAGGGATTTGACATCAGAACCTGAACGCCTTCCTGCTTCTGGCTGTGAAGATTGATTACTTTTTTTCTATATTATCCCGAACTGATTTCGAACTAGACGGCCAGTCGGTTTTCGCATCATAACACCCCGTTCATGTTAATTGACGACGTCGAAGTCTACAGCTATGGAGTGGTTCTTTTGGAACTGCTGACCGGCAAGCGTCCTTTACACGATCAGGCATACCTAGAAGAGTCGATCATCGTTAATTAGGTCGAGGCCAACTTTTACGCAAAGTTTTGGAAGAGATACAGGACAAGGAGGTGCTCGAGTCCGACCACTAGAGCGGTGAAGGAATTGCTCTTAGTTCAGAAGGTAGCTGTGTCTTTTATTAACAAGATTACCTCAAAACGAAAGACGATGAGAGAGATCGTGGCTACGGCAAGCCAGGGCAGGACGGAAGAGCAAGCTTGCTTGCTTGATCGATGAACATGAATCCATGAACCAGGCCGGGCAACAAACCAGTAGATGGTTGCGACAAATGAAGGGAGATTGCGCAGTGTTTGAGTAGCTCTCGGCTAAAACTATAGCTCACGTGTACCAGATGAGTGATCAGATAAGCTCATCAGTAAGAAATCTTTATGATGAATGGTGTCGATGACAGTAATTTCTCCAGCATTTGAACAACATGCCAGCTCTAAAACAGTTCGGCTCCACTATTGGATCAGACGGTCAGCACCGCATGATGTGAAGCGGATTGACATGATCGGTTGTCCATCAGGCATCACTTTTTATATGGTATTCGATAAACAGAAAATTTGTCGTATGAGTCTCTACCCTCGTCCATACGTGTATTGACGAGATTGTTAGTATAGGCCCTATACATCTCGGAACCGATGAACAGAAAACTTCCATCGGATTTTCTTACGTCCTGATGTTCCTTCTGCTGTACCCATTCTATGCAGAGAGCAATGTTTTTCGACGATGATGGACGGTTGAGAAGGCGTTTCAATCTGATTCATCAAATAGAGCACCAAACGACGCATCTGAAAGTGAAACACAAACGAATGGTACTGCTGTGAGCTCCCCAGATCAACAAAGACAGAGTACCCCCGGGGCTTGTATTGGATCTATGAGAGCACCGGATTGGGCCTCATTCGCACAGCCAGTACTGGTGGAATTTGTGTAAAGCCAAACCAACTTAGCGGCCAAATTCCTCGTGGAGCTCGATTCCAACCATGACCAAGCCAGCTCGAAAGCATGAAACCAACAGGACATTGAGCGGGCGATTTAAATAGTGGGCATGAAGGCTCGGGCTTGGGAGAAACCTCAAGGTACTTGCCCATCTTTACAGGGTACACGGCCTTGACTTTATTTCATTCACTCTGCTGTGTGAAGGATCTAATGAAGGATAAGCATGCAACTGGGAGTCTGCACCGTTGAAGCAAGAGTGCCTAACACAGAACACAAAGCGACCATTCTGCAGAGCCTCGAAGCAACTTAGGAACAGCTCGTAGGAGGGGATCGATGGTGGCCACCTCTGTTCTGCCCATGTTGCAAAGCACTGCATCGAGTGGCTCTCCTTCTGCAGGTCTTAAACCGAGCAGAGCGTTCCCCTTGGTGGTATCTACAACTCTGTATTTGATGGAGGAAATAGCGTTGATGGTGTTCGAACCTGGGCGATTCGAATAACGTTCTCGCTGAAATCAGTGGTCAATATGTCGACGCGGTGGTCATGAAGTTGAGCCAAGCGCCGAGCCATAACTCCTGCTTCACATTCGAATCCAAAACACGCTCACCAGGTTTCAGATCTAACAAACGTTCGGTGCTTCGGCCTCACTAGCTTTCGCTGAAAATCGCAGCCCTCTTCCATGTGATCGTCTCGGGTGATTTTTGGTTCTCAATTTCGCCATATTTCTCCATCAAAACTTCAACCTCTGCAAATTCGATTTTCAGCTTTGCTTCAAAGACGACTTGCAACGGGGTTTTGTTAGGCCTACGACGACATGGCATTCATTCAGATCATTATCACTTGGACAGCTCAGGTATTCCTGAAACCGCAGCCAAGTACTTTTTTGCTAGACACGGTGTACAAGCCACAGACTCCCCTGTTGGAAGCTGCCTTTGAAGGTAAAAGTTCCACTATAGTGTGACAAGCGGCTACGTTGATCGGAAAAGCATGGTCATGTAAAGAAGAAGGTTCATCACACAGTCACCCCGATCGTCACTACATCTAATTCTTGTCAAGAACAACCTTCAAGTGTTGCATTAGACATCAGTACAGAAAAAAACTGTGCCCGTGTAAATTTTGCCTGCATCGAGATGAGATGAGATGTGAGACCTGTCCTCTTTCCCATACTGTATAGTTTTCTATCTTTCTCCTTCACATTAATCGATTGACAAACCTACATTGCAGAGTGAACTCGCTCTGCTTTTCTTTCATAACCCATGTTTCACTCTTCCTCCCTCCATAACACTGCAGCTACTCTCAAAATTATGATTAACTGCTTCCTTTGAAGAGGTTTAACATTAAAGTCACACAGAACAAAAAGAGCTTGGCAATGTGGAAATAGATGAGAACGTTTGAGAAAACCAAACGACTCAACTTTCGTAGTTTCGAGGAAAAGTTGGCTACGAGGTCTGCGCTCGAGGGCAACAGCCGATTAGCAAATTCTACAGATTCTGCAGAAACGCCACCATGATCTTGAGCCTAGGCTTTGATCGCCCAGTGTTAAAATTGCTTCATTCAGAATCTGCGCAGATCTGGCGTCAGTTGTAGGTACCAGAATCTGGTACCCAAAGATGAATCATAGCCAGATCCCGGATTGGGTACAGTACTGTGATCATCCAACCGACACGAGAATCACATTCCGCACGGTCGCCTCCACTCAACCCCACTGTGCTGTACACCGTTATTCCACCTAGTACATCATCATGATGGCAGGATATGATTTGTGAGTAGGTGGAGAGCTCACACGGTTTCCATCGATCCACCTCATGTACCAAGCATCCAATGAATGATACAAGGTGATCGTTTTCTCGAGAAGGGCCAATCAATACTCGTGCAGTCGATAAATCTAGCACTACCCCGGCATCCGGAGAAATTAGCAGTCTTGATTTGTTTGTCTAAAATAGAACAGCGGAGGTGAATTCAGTCTGAATTCCACAGCTCGAGGTGAGATTGGAAAAATGTAGAGAAGTGACAATGAAAGCACGGAAGGCAGAAGAAGCTGCAAATCGTCAGCTTCAAACTCGGGCACCCAACGAGGGCTCGAAAGCGTGCAGCCACGTCGCGTTGTGGAAGCCGTGAAGGGCAGCGGAGAAGTGGCCACGTAAAGTAGGAGCATCGGCCATGGTCGGGAGCCGGATCCAGACATCTTCGCTGAAGCTGTGAGCGAGGATGACGAGGCCTCGCGGGCCCGCCGCGGCATCGGCTTGGCTCTCGCGATGGCGCCCGGCAACGTAGAGCCAGTCGCCCTGGCCGACGCACCAGTCCTGCATAATCATGGGGCACCGCTTGCCCGGCTTCGGAGGAAACAAGCAGGACGGCAAATGCCTCGTCGTCAAGGCGCACATGGGCTCGTCCTCTTTCAGCTCCGAGATCGAGATCTCATTCTGCGACTTCCCGTTGCGCTGCACCACCAGAATGCGCCCTCGGTGCTCGACGAGCTGCGGCAGAATGGAGCCTCGTCGGCCGAGGCGGATCTCGCTCCACACGTCGGCATCCGAATTGTATCTGACGATGCTCCAGGGCCAATCGAGCCCGCAGGTGCCGCTGGCCAGCCCGGCCGTGAAGGTGAGGCAGTAGAGCGAGCCATCGACGTTCACGGTCTTGCCAGACTCCCAAAATCTGGCTCCCTTGGGCACCTCGGCCCCCGTGCTCCACCTCTCCGTGAACGAATCGTAGACCAGAGTGGCCCTCTCGGCTGCTGCTGCTGCTGCTGCTGCTGTGCTCTCCTCGCTGCGGATTCCTGCCACCACGAGCTTGTACCACTGCTTGTGCCTCTCGGTGACCAAGCCCACCACAACCTCCTTTCCGAACGACCTTTGGAAAGCCTCGATGGCCTCCTTGCCGCCCTCCAGAGTGACCACGGGCTTCAGAAGGTTGGGCAATGGATCCGTGATGGCCTCGACGCTGAAGCCTTGTGGCAGTCGTAAGTACTGACATTCCATGGAGATCGGGTTGCACACTATGAGTTCTCCGGTCGCGCTGGTCTTGAAACAGAGCAGGCCGCCAGCTGAATCGAGCAGTGACAGGGAGTGGGAAGGGAATTTCACGTAGTCCAGGCTTTGCTCCTCCCAGCAATTCTTCCGATGATCGAACACGATCAATTGCCCGTGGCTGAAATAAATCGGCACTGCCCTCGGCCCCGGGTGTTGAGGAGCCCACATCTCGTGAGACCGGATCAGATGATTCCACCTCTTGCACACGCCTCGCACTCTGATCAGGCTGAAGACCGGAAGCTTGCGCAGCACCATGATGTGCACGTCCTCACTCAGAGCCTCCCAATCGAGTCCTTTTTTATCCTCACCGATTCTGTGCACATGGCTGTTGCTAGACATCGTGGCGCCTTTCTCCAGAGACATGGCGACCTGTCTCAAGTCACAAATTCGAGAGCGCACGAGACAATTTGTCGTCCCCTACTTGGAATTGGAAATGCAAAATTCGTTGGCGCCCGTAAACTCGTGCGAAGTCCCTCGAGACAGCGAATATGGATGACACTCTAGTTAACGAGTGCCGCACTAGGCAGACATTCACTCAGCGTCTGCGTGAGCGTGAGAGATAGAAAGGAGCTCACTACGCAAGCAGTTACGCGATTCCATTTCGGATAACTCCAAAAAATTAGGAGTCGAAAGAGCAATCATGCTTCCGCTGTCAGGTCACCCCTGGTCTCCTCTTCTCATTCCAAAACTTAGTTCCAGTTCGACTTTTCCTCGAGCGTAGACAAATTGGATCCGTGAAGAAGTATTTCACGTGACGACGCAAAAAACTTCTCATACGCAAAGAAGCTGCGGCTGTCCGATCGACATGGCCATTGCGCCAATTCCAACTTATCTTTATAAAACGTGCTTACACTAATCACGGGTACAATCGGCACCCAGAAAGACTCCCTCTCAATCTCGAGGCTTCGGAGGGCACTCACTCGTCGGCCAGTCATTACCTGACGGTTTCATACCAACTCCCGGCGGCCAAACGTGATGCGTTGCGTGCTATCGTCGGGAAAAATAAAAGACGATGTCAGGCACAAAGATTTCATTCAGGCAGTCCACAGGCAAGCTCTCGATACAAAGGGACGCGCTGAACGCGCATGAAGCAGAGAAAAACGAACGTGAAACTCAATTTATTGACATATTTACAAAATGCTACACTCTCTCGCCAGAGGGCAGACCGGCACAGAATTCAAAGGCCTGAAAGATTGATCGGCTACATATCAACTCTGGCTAGCACCAGTAGTTCCTCAACCAAGATACAGCTCGTCAGCTAGGGGACTGCTAGAATAGAAAGGTCGTGGTGCATTCGCTCGGCTGATTTCTCTACTGGGACACGTCCAATCCATCCTGTACCCAAGACAGACTTCGACTTCTTCGCTGGGGAAACAGGTGCACCCAAGACTACAAGACTTCGTTAAAAAGCTCGAGTAAGAAGGAGCATGCTGAGACAAAGTCATAATGGGAGTAAGGTCTTGGCAGGTCGGTCAGTCAGTCAGTACAGACACCTTCTGTTCACAAATCTGCTCCTATTTTCCCCTAATAGTTGCAAGCCAGTCGAGTCAGGGCAAACCCATTCAAGTGAATCGCCCATCAATCCAACAAGCTGGAGAACCCCGACGGAGAGCCACATGAAGGACGAGATCAAAAGTCGCATACCTTCGAAGCAAATCTTCCAGTATGCACTCCAAGAGTAAACCTCACTTCTACTAGAAAGCTTCTGTCCGCTTCTGTGCGAGCACAACATCATTTTGTTCTCGTAGTCGTTGTCTGCTGAGAAGCGTAATTGCAATGTGTACACGAAGCTGTGGTTCACAACTATCATCCCCGGATCCCTCTGTCTTTGATCTTGACTGGAGACTGGCAGTGCAGACGGAGAGATGAATGTAATGAACCTTGGGTTACACTGCGGCGGTCATGGAGGCCTCGAGAGTGCGCAGCCACGTGAGACTCGGCCCAGGCTTGGTACAGTCGAAGAGAGTGGGCAGTCGGGTCCATAGCCCGGTGGTCAGGTCGACAGCCAAAACAGAGAACCCCGTGTCCTTTCGCTTCCACAAGCCAGTGCCGCCGATGTAGAAGCAATCGCCCTGTCCGACGCACCAGTCTCCCATGGCGGGAGCGTTGGCTTCGTGGCAGTCATGGAGCAGGCGCGCCGTTTCCTCGGGCTTCTCCAGCTCCTCGTAAAACATCACCGACTGCAAGTGCACAGTCCTCTTCTGCACCACATAGCCTCGCTCTCGATGCTCCACCAGCTGCGGGATCAGAGTGCTGCACATATTGAGATTGTACTCGCTCCAGCAATCCTTCTTCACGTGATACTTCACGATGCTCCAAGGTCTTCTCAGAGCGCACGACCCTGGAGCCAGGCCCTTGCTCCAGGTCAAGCAGTAGAGCGCTCCATTGAAGTAGAGCGGCTTGCCCGACTCCCAGAACCTCACTCCTGTCGGAACCTCGCTGCCTCGGGTCCACGAGCCCGTCAACGAGTCGTAAATCAGCGTCGGCCGCTTCTCCGAGTCGCCATCTCTGAGACCCGCCACGATCAATTTGTAGCTCCGCTCGTACTTCTCGGTCAAAAGGCCCACGATCCCTTCCCTGCCGAAGGTCCGATAGAACTCTGCAACGAGCTCATCCTCCCGACTCCGAACCTCAGGCAACATCACAGGCGCCGGAACAATCCACTCCCTGCCTGCTTGCGGAGGCTTGATGGCGCCATGATCGAAGCCGGCAGGCAACTGCACGACGCGCGACTTCTTCGTGATGGGGTTGCACACCACGAAGTCGCCAGAGTCCTTGTTCTTGAAACAGAGCAAGCCTCCGGCTGAGACCAACAATGCCAGCGACGCCAAGGGGACCTCGAGAAACTGCAGACTCTGCTGCTCCCACGCATTGGTTCTCGAATTGTAGACCTGCAGCGGGCCCTGGTAGAAGTAGATGGGCACGCACTTGGAGGCCAAGTTGCCTGAGAAGGTGAACTCGGGCGACAGGGTCAGATCTCTCCACTTCCTGCACACACCACGAGACCTAACCAGACTCGAGAACGGCAATCTGGACAGAATTCTGGCCAGCAGGTCCTCGGGCAGCAAATTCCAGTTCACAGACAGCATCTGTCTCTTCGCCTCGGACGACCTCTCCTCATCATCATCCCCCTTGCTCCCCTCCTCCGTGGCGACCGAGCTCATACCAATGGCGCACTCTTCTCGCTCACCTTCCCTCCCCTCCACTTCCCTTAGCACAATCCCCGTGGCGACTCCAATTGCTCCTATGGTCAAAACTCGTGACATGGATGATCTGCGCACATGTCCATCTGCAAAACGCCTTCTTACAGCTTCCCTCCTCCTCCTCCCGATCTTCTCTCTGTTGAGCAACTGACTGCAGATGCGACTGACCTTGATCTCGTTGCACCAAGTGCATGCTCGAGCGCATAGGCGCAGTTCTCACACGACAACTTCTCGTCGACTGAGTCCATGGCACACTTGCAGACACCAGCTATACGAAGCGAAGGCTGCAGTCTGTCTGCTGCGGGAGAGTGCAGCGGAGCACGGCGACAACGAGGCGGGATCTCTCGTCAGCTGAGCTGAGCTGGGAGAGAGAAGAGGAGAGTTCGCGCGGTCGACAAGGACACGGACCTGTGGACCTGTGGACCTGCTCCGGAACCTGCGAGCGAGGCAACACGTGGTCGTTCAGGTTCTGCGTTTGCGCCTCGTAAGTCTTGCAGGCTGCTGCTTCCTCCAGCACAAGGGCCAGAGTCTACAGATAGTCAGTCAGTGAGGTCCATTGCAGTGAAGTGAAGTGAAGAGAATCGAATCGAGGCTACAGAAATGCGTCACCGCAGCAAGTGCCCCTCGGAGACGCGACAGGAACCCGTCGCCCGCAAATTACAGCCTTTCGAGATTCAGAACGCAAATTAATTTCCTGGAAAAATGGATGCCCTCAACGATGGGAAAGTACACATCTGCACCATAATACACAGCTCTCTCCCAAGTGATCTCTGTCCACACCATCAGGAGCGAATCCGCTGATTCGACTCTCAGACCATAAAGACATTTCGCGCGTAGTTTTGATTGGTATGTGGAAAGGTGTGCGCATTGAAGAATTTGGGAGGCAATTGCGGGAAAGGAAGCCCGTGCATTTTAGTCAACATGTTCCGTACGGGGGGATTAAGTGCAGTCATCGACATGAAAACGAGCTCCTCATCTATTGTAGTGTAGTTTTGATTCGGGTCGAGGCTTTTGGAATGCGTGGATGGCATGGCATGGCATGATGATGATGATGATGATGGGAGGAGACGACACATAGATGCCAAGGTGGTCAAGATGATGGATTATGTGCATGTCTACATCGCGGAACCTTCATAACTCTCTTCACCCTTGACTACGTGGCTGTCGAGTATTTAGGGAAACAAAGTGTAAGATACAGTATTACCTTAGGTAGAGGCCTAATGATTCTATTTCCTCGGATGGTACATTGTTTTCAAGTTCGTACACGGCTATATTTTTTTTAGATATGTGCCTTGCAACATGTCAAGGCACATGCACCCTAGGATTGTGAAGGATAAATGATTTAAAAAAAATTGGAAATACTTCTGGTTGATCGGAATAAGTTTTAATATTCTTAAGGTAGAAGGAAAGGTAGATGACGAATGTTAAGAAATATCTCGGCGGACGTACGTGGACACTGTCTAAAGTTGGGTTTAGTCTTCTGGAAAGGAAGTACATCGAACAGATATGAGTTGAAAAACTCACCAATTTACGAATGCATATGCATGCAATATGATATTACTTAGTTATTCATACACATAATCAGTTCAATGCCTAACCTCACAAGTGTACTAGCTTATCCATGTACGAATGAACCGTATATCATTATTTACATCTAAGCAATTAACATCTTCCTGGCCAAGTCCAATATTTTACAAGCGAACTGTTGAAGTTGATGTATGCATTAGAATGACATTTGTTCTTGATACCAAGAAATTTATCATCACTGTATGAAATTAGAATAACTAATCCAATTCGAATGGTTAATTTTTTCTCTCAAATACACACCACGCTCATATACACGTCATATGAATCATTCTGCGTCATGAAATGATTCTAGAATATGTTGTTTGACTTCTTTAAATCCTAATAATAGTTTAAACAACATTCATATTATTTTATCTTCATATCTCATCACAAAAATGAGTGTAACATGGTGATATTTTTTATCAAATAACTTGTAAACCATAACAACAAAATTACTTTAATCAATACACAAGTTTGAAGAAAAAACTCTAGCATGTGATGATCATGTTGGATAAAAAATCTCCTCTTAATTTCAAAATTTTAATTTTATTCTTAATGTTTCCTTTCCTTTCTATCTATTCCGTTACCAGCATTTGTCTTCATGCAGATTATTAAGTTGTGAGACTAAATTGATTTTGTCTATCAAACTAAGTTGGATAGTAGATGAAAATAAAAAAATAATCATAAAAATTAATGTCATGTACTATTTTCATTGAATGCTCATTTTCTATCATTTATAATACTAGTTATAGTACACAGTGACATTGTATTTGACTAGTTATATGGTAATGAATAGGAAATTTGTTCCAATATCCTTATCAGAAACTTTGAATTTTAATCTTTCGGGCTTTTGTAAAGGAATTTTGATGACTCAATTATGTTTTATTGCATGAAGCTTGAATTTGAAGATTCACTTTCGAAATTTATTACCTTGTGCCAAATCAATTTCTGATTGTCAACTAAACGTCCAAATCGTCTATGTGATATATGATTTTTAAAATGCTCATAAAATAGTTCAGAGTCAAATTTAGACTGTATGTTTGTGTTAGAGATTGCATTGTGATACATGCACTATGTTTATACGATTATCAGATTATACATATACATTATGTTGAAAATTAGAAAACCCAATGAGAGTTAAAATTGATAGAAATTCATTCCCAAAATTTATGGTGTTTACGTATTTCACTATATCATCACTGTCTTGTAAAATATCGTAAAAAATACAAAAATAATAGTAAGATATTATATGTTTACTTATACATAATGTTGCATAATATTTTCATATTTGAGATATCTCTACGTTTTGAATGATTGAGAGCGGACAACGTCAAGGTAGATTTTAATTAATCCATCACGAGATATTTATTTGTACATATGAAATGCAATAGGCCATTGCTTGATGATAGTATAAAATATATATTTATTGATTAAATGGTTCAAGTTGACCTTTGTTAGGGCATATTTTGTATATCAAGAGTGTACAAAGGGTGACGACACTAACGACCATCAAGCAGATATCATATATTTACGTGAGGATGGCCCATATATCTCCTTGTGGCGCGAACTGGGACGCCCGACGGAGACGTGAGTACGACGACTCGTGAACTGAGTGGGCGCAGTGCCCAACATCCTTCCACATCCGGGATCACAGCGAGCCACAATAACCAGCGGAAACCGGCGTACCGCGTCGACTCCGTCAACTTCGTCAATTCTGTATCTTAGGATCCTCCTTTTGCCGGGACTTGTCACGTGCAGACCGGGCAGTGCAGTAAGCTTTGGAACCTGGCCATAACGCAGTTCGGACGTCAGCCAATCATAGTCCAGACTGTGCCGCCGCCGGCGTCTCAATCGGCGGGGTCTCAATCGACGGCGGGAGTCGGCCTTCGCTTCAGATCGTCGATCTGTATTCCAGGACGGCATTCTGGCATCCTCCGTGGAGGACAGCCGAATCGATGTCCATCGTGGCAGGAAGTACTGGCGCAGCGAGATGCGCCACGGGGCAAGAAGAGGAGGTGGCTGAAGGGGCGGCAACGTGGAGGGCAAACTCACGAAAATTCGAATTTGAATGTCGCGGGACCTCCAAGCTTCTGACTGAAGCTTTGGCGGCGAGAGGAACGAAGCCCCGTTCCCTCCCAATGTTCAGATCTCGCCCAGTCTCGCGGGAGATTCGGCGTTTCCATGAAGTGAGATCCTCGTAGTCCATTCCATCAGTCTCAGAGTCCGATTCCTGGCCCACTGCCGATGAAAATTCTCCTTTGGTAGGCCAATCACCTCTGAATTCTTGTGCATCCCGCTCGCTCGTCGATTTCTCTGCTCGTGGTCGAAGCTCAGTGAGATTTGATGTTCGTTTCCAAGCGATTCACTCCGCGATCCGATACCCATCGTTTCTTCGATCCCCATCAAGGCCTAGATTAAAGTAGCCACCAGAATTACTTTGGAGCTCAGCCTCGATCTCTTCTTCTGGGAGTCTTGGCTTCTTAGAGTCGAGCCCGGATTGAGCTTCCATGCCTCCCCGGGGTAGGCCTGTTTCCAAAGGACGGCCCTCTCCATCGGCCCCAAGCGGATCCCACATTGTTGTTTTAGGTGCGACCTCTGAAATTGAGTTGTTCTCTGAAGTAGAAGAGATTTTTCTTATCGTGTATTACCATCAATTGCGAGCATCTGGTTCTTCTTTAACTCCGTCTGGTGTCTGCAGGAAACTGCCGTTTGGACGTGCCGGATGCCTTGGGTTACGAGCTTACGCATGAAGGATTCAGCACCGAAATTCAGGATGTCGGAACGCTGAGGGTTTACGAAGGTTAGAACTGCTTCTCATTGGATGTCAGCTGATTCCTTGTCTGAAATTCGTCCATATTCTCGTACATGTGTGAAGAGCCATATCTCTCCTTGCATTTCATGCCACGGGCAGAATTTTGCGCTTACATGACGTTAAGTGTTACCCTGCAGCTGTCACACGCATAATATCCCCACCGATCGGACTATCTTTCTCGTTGCTGAATCCCAAGAATGTCGATGGCCCGGGAAAGCTTCTTCTGCAGGTGAGCTATTTCAAACTACCATATTCTGCTACAGCCAGGGAGTTTCAACTGGAATTTTGGCTTTCAAAACGTCGATTTAATGCCCAATCGCCATCCATGTAACTCGTTTCTTCTACCATCCACAGGACACTTTGCACCTGTATAACGTGGAACTTCCCGCCATGAGCTTCGCTGCTAACACCGGGAAGGAATCCCCTTTCCTCGAAAGTTGTGTAATGGACGGGTAAGTTATTCTTCTTGGTGGTCGCCAGTGTCCAAAGCACGTTTGTGCGTCCAATACGAGCTTGTATTCTCAATGAATTAGCTGACACTCACCGGTTCCTTTTCGTGGATTTGATTGCAGTAAATACTGTACTCTTCTCATGAGGAACCATGAACCTGGGAGCGTTGAAACCGAGGTAGGCCTCAGATAGCGATGCGTGTGTGAATTAGTTCGTGGACGCGTAGATTTGATTTTTGGAGGAGAGAAGAGAAGAGCGCAGGAAGTGCCCCCCTGAGGCAGAGATGATTCTCGTTGAAAGTGTTTGTAAAAAAAACGGGTTCTCTACCTGCTCCGTGTTGGTGTTGTCCGTAATTTTGTTATTCCAACACTTCTGATGAATAATTCTGTCCTCCAGCTCATTGGAGCAGTGACTTTTCAAATCCTCCCTCCAAATTGTCAAGAAGCCGAGATTCCTCTCGCTGCTATTCGCCACGCGCACCAGAGAAAGGTATCACTTCTGTCCAGGCCCAGGAATCTGTTGCGTTTAAGTTTTTTGAAGTTAACTTCGAGGATCCGGAATCGAATCATGCACACATTTGAAGTCCTTGTTCTACCATCTGATGTATTACCACCAGGGAAGCCTCCAGAAATGATCTGGCCTGACGTAGAATGATGGCTCAATTTTGTGACAGGGTTATGGGACTCTTATATACAAAGAGCTCCGGAGACGACTGATGGATGTCGGAGTGACCTCTGTTTTTTGCTGGGGTGACGCCGAATCAGAGACATTTTGGGCCAAACAAGGATTTGTCAAAGTAGCCGAAGTAGATGGCCGCGGGAAACCTAGGAAACTCCCCATCAAAGGAGATTTGAAGAAGGCGATGAGCATTCCAGGAAGCGCCGCTCTCATGGTCTCGAATTTGGACTGCGGCCTCTTTCAATCAACAGTTTCTGTACCTCCTGAGCAATTGAAGGCGAAAAGTTCTACACCCAATCAAGCAGTGGAGAAGATATTCTCGGATACTCCTTCTCGTACTCACAACTCGGCGAACAGCTTTCAGCTATCGAACATCACGTCTCCAACGATGATGGTAACTACTCCAGAGTTCGCAGGGGAGGCAAAATCAAGCCATGTCAACACCCCTCCGCAGACAGAGAGCGAATCTCCAGAACTTTCGACTGGAGTTCCCCATAAGAGCAGTGTGTCCATCACTCCACTCAACATGGATGGAAGGCTCTTCAGCCTGGCTCATAACCCTGCGACTGCCCCTGAAGTAGCTGAACCCGCTGTCAATTCTCTTCAAATCGTGCCTTTTGCTGCTGTGCCTGACTCGGAATCTATGGAACCGAATGACAATCCTGCTTATGGTCTCTCAATGACCGATTTTACTAAAGACTTGCCTGCAACGAAGAGTCCTGGGCTAATCAACAAACGTACCTATATCAGACGCATGCATAACGCTGCGAGGTCTTCTGGTAAGCTCGCTTGTCCCGTCGTGACATCGTGATATTGATAAAGATGACCGTGCAAGTGGGTTGAATCTAAAATGGGCCACTTATAATTGCGATCTGGATCTCATGCAGGAAATGCATCGCCTTCCAGGCCCAGTGGGAAGGAAAATATTTCGGAGGTCAAGCTGGTCGTAGATTTGGAAGGACCTGGAAAGGAAGGAGGTAAATTGAAGTCTTTTCTTGGACCCAGAGCTAAGGTTGGCCAAAGGAAAGCTACTGCACCTAAAGGAAAGAGTGCTTCTGCTGGAGACGTCACTCCTCATGATGTCAAGCAGGATGGAGCTGGATTGTCCCCTCTATCTGCAATTACAGGGCCCAAGGCAACTTCTAGTCTCGACCCTGCAAGCGGTTCAGAGGTTCTCGGAGCGCCAGTCCAGACGAGCGCGAACAACATTGCCATTGGTCACGAAAGCGCCCCAGGATCAGAACCCCCGAATAAATCTACTCCCTCAGAAGACGAGACTGGAAAGCGGGTAAGGTCGGCCAGATGCAACATCGATCAGTCTGAGAAGCAGTCCGGCGAAGAATCGAAGAAGGATGATGACGAAGATTATTCACCAAGTGGCCCATCCCGACAGAAAATCGGTGTCAAGCGGGGAAGACCACCCAAAGTACCGGCCAGCGGAGGGGCGAAGAAGGTTCGAGGAGCAATCATCAACGACCAAGCGGGTCTCCCAGGGTCTGGCGCAACAGAATCCGAGAAGGCGCAAGCTGGGTCTGTCAAGCGTGGTAGACCACCGAAATTGCCTGCAGCTGGAGCAAAGAAGAAGGGCACCAATCCTACAAATGTTCGCAAGGTTGCAACAACACCTGCACTGAAAACTGGATCCGAAGAATGTGGCCAAGGTGTGACGAGTGATGAAAAGACGCGTCCAAAGCGTGGTAGACCAGCTGCAGTAATTCGCACCGCAACGAAGCGTAGGAAGGGAGACTCAGCAGGTGGTAAGGACTTAGACCGCGGCCCTGGACGCGAAGAGGCAGATGGAGATGAAGTGGTTGCAAATGTGGATGGGGTCAAGGACGGTGATGACGGGCTTGCAGATATGCTGAACATACTATTACCTGTTCAGGAAAGTGCAGATAGAGGTGTAAGTGTGCGGGGGTGCAAAGATGCGAATGAGGACATATCTGGGTCGAGTGCTTTGGGTAGCTCTCTGAAAATTCAGGTACCAGTCACTTCTCGTGCTGATGTGATTGAGTTGAACCATGGGCTGGACGGAACTGAAGCCCTTCCAGGAAATAATCATCAACAAAAAAAGTCGCTGGGCTCTGAAGGTCGCACAAACATGCAGGTTGCAAGTGTCAATGGCTGCACTGTATCTGCGGCCGAAGTGCCTGACTCTGAGAGTACAGAGGCAGCTGAAGAAGACCAGGAGTTAGAGAAGCAGAAATATGTCGTAATGCTTATGAACATGTCTGACGACAGCAAAAAGAAACAGCTTATCAAGGTAATAACGCCTTATCTAAGACTTACGAGTTCTTTTCTTTTTGCTTCTCCATTCATGGACTCGATAATGCATTATTCCTCCTTATTTTACTCTTGAGGAAGTACAGAGTATACTCACGTGTTCCGTAATATGTCTATTCAGCACGTGGAGAAATTAGGAGGTCTGGTGACATGTGAAGGCAGCAAATGCACACACGTAGTGACTATGGAAGTGCGCAGAACTCTGAACTTCTGCGTAGCTATATCTTCTGGGTAAACACCTCCCTTTTAGATGATTTGCTCATACTGTCTGGATCCCTGTTCCTTTTAGGACCTTTGAGTTGCTTGGAACCCTGGTGTTTTCTATTGGAACCCAAAGATGTTCAACGCTCTGTGCTATCAAACTGATGATTATCATCGTTGTTTGCAGAGCTTGGATTCTATCGCCGGATTGGTTGAAAGTGAGTGTGAAGCAGAAAAGATTCGTAGGTGAGTACATGATCACACTTCCCAAACCCGGATCAGGATTGAGGATTTTAGTGCTGAATGCCTCACTTGTTTGCAATTTACTTAAACTTAGCACCGACTCGCGCACTCTTCACGTTAGTGAATCTATTATCGATTTACACTGACTGGCGTCTGATGGTCTGCAGATGAGGAACCTTACATCCTCAGTGATAAGAAGTTTGAGGCGAAATACAATACAACATTACGAGATGTCATTCCCAAAGCTAAGCAGATGCCAAACCTTTTGCTGGATGGGCTTTATATATATCCATCCCCGAATGTACACCCTCCAGTCGATACGATTTCCGATATTATCAAGGCCGCTGGCGGACAAGTACTTTTCCTAACCCTGTCTCAGTACAATTTGCATTTGTCTTCATGTTATTCACCACTTCAAAGTTTCAAAGTGGGTGAAAAGTATATCCTTTCCACGTCTCATTCTTCAAGTGGACTAGTCAATCTCACAAGTGAACGTGCAATCCAATTCGCAATTTTCTAAGGTGACGTCATTTGGTGTGGTTAGGTTCTCGCAACTTTCGAGGAAGCGCTTAAGCTGGAGAAGAAGTCGCTTGGCATAGTCATAGCTTCCGAAGAAGATACGGAGAAAGCTATGGCTGCTGCAAAAGAAGGAATCTGTACATACAACTCAGATTGGTTACTGACGTGCATTGTAAAGCAGGACCTAGATTTTAGTGTTGCGCAGTTCACCGAATCTCTGTAGATGTACAGTTGACTGCAAATTTTGATATGTTGAGACCTAGCCAGCCGAAATTGTAAATTTAAATTTTGACCTTTAGTACAAGAAGAGAACTCTGACAACGTAGAGGTTTGACGTCTGAGGAGGTGAAATCATCATAGCCTAAATATCTGTCCATTTTGGACTCTCTGCGTTGGTCTTCAATTCAGAGAATTGAAGACCAACGCAGTCAACGCATTCAATTAAAGCATTCCTTGCCGACCAAATACCTTAAAAGTTCTGTTCCATATCACAAGTCAAAACATATCAAATAGGTCCCCTCAGGGTTTGTATCCAGATTCAGCCAAAGATTGGCTGAACGAAGGTGTAAAACTCCACAGTGGGGCAAAAAGTGTTGTCCTCGTCTGAAACCTAGTCTTTCTGACGCCGTCGCTTGATGTACAAACTTCAGTAATAAAATGACTCCTCGAAGACTGTAGTACTTGTAGGGTTGAATGCTTGCCAATCTCTTGTAATCATCGAATTTTTAACAAAACTTCAAGTAATGTTCCACTCCAAGTGCATGCTTTTTTCAGATATTCAAACTTAATCAGAAGATGTCTATGCAGAAGAATATCACATAAACATTGTCTACCTTATGTCCAGTTGGGAACATGTGACATATGCAGACCATGAGCACGCAAATCCAGGTGGATGCTTGAAACTATTAGCCATCCATAGTATGGAGTGGTGAATAAAACAGTTGAATTGCAGACAAACTAATACAGATTAGCGTCTACCCTTTAAAAGATTAGAGACACGAGTTAGTGTCTACCCTCTGAAGAGATGAGACACGAACGTTCGCTTGTATAAACAAAGAAGACTGACAGTGACCAGGAAACAAGTGTGAAAGACAACGAAAGTGATTATACAGCTGCTATTTGTAACGCCATAAAGCACACCAATTAGACGAACAGTGAGCCAATAGATTTAAGTTCAACCAAAATATTATTCAGAAACAATTTCTGTATCATTACAGTAAGGAATACTTGCACATTCGGACGAGAGGGATGATAGCTTCAATGTATCAAGTAAAATGAAACTCTAGAAAGTCAACAAACTCCGCGTCGAACTTTGTACTTCAAACCCAAACAAATACAGTGTTGAAACATGAGTTTCGAGTCTACTTCTACACCCTTCAATTTATGAAGCAAAGTTTATTCTCAATAATTAGGTCATTCTGAGGAGGATTTTCTAGATAAAATCCGGGAGTCCGACTCGTTACTTCAAATCAAACTTGGATCGTAGGTCTGCTCATGACTCATGTTGAACTGAACTGTGGTTAAGGCTTTGACTGATCCACCGCACCCTCCACCACATACGCTTCCGCAACCGGCACCAGAAGTGACGGACTGAACTGGGGTTGCGGCTTAGACGGCTCCCCCGCCCCCTCCACCACATCGGCTTCCGCAACCGGCACCAGGAGTGACGGGTTGAACTGTGGTCGAGTCTTTCAGCGGTGCACCACATCAATCCCCACCACAATTTGCAGCACAGTCACTTCCGCAAGAACCATTAGCGCATCCTCCAAGACATCCGCTATTGAAGCAACTGGCACCAGCAGTGACGGGTTGAACTGTAGTCGAGTCTTTGGGCGGTGCACCACCTACTGACACAGGTCCATCGGTTTTACGAAGAGCCGCATTGGACTCCCACCAAGGACTGTGAAGGTCCAAGGTCTTCGAACTTGGTTTCCAGTCTGACCTGTTACGGTTGTGATTACACCACTTCGAAGATAGTCCATTTCCAAGTAGCCGAATTGCACCTGCGCAACAGGAATCATATCTATCAGAAGTAAGCACTTTTGATACATTTGATCTGATCACAGATGACTCTTGCGATCACTGATGATGGAAAGAGATTCCTTCTTACGTACAAGTCATATAATCCTCTTCTGATTACTGTGTACCTGGTCAAGTACTGAGAATAGAGAAAATGTACAACATCGTTGAAGTCCAAGTCAGAGATGTTATTGTGGACTTCAACTACAATTTGAAAAGTTACCTAGATCGCCATTGGAGCGTCTTCTTTGCCGTCTCCTCACAGCTGAAGGAAGTTTCTTCCACACCGGCGGTCTCAATGTAGGCTTCATCTCTGACAAGTAGATGTTAAGGGCTGAAGAAAGTAAAAGAACTAGCGTTACGCTTTCATCCTTCGTTACCTGCAAGCACAAATTTTATGAAGTGGTAAGGTACAGGTTCCTGTTGCTTGATTGGTCAGGATAATGTTAAAACAAGGAATAGAAGGTGCATCTGGAATTCAGAATGACAGTTAAGATTGTGACTGCTTTCATGTACCTCAAAGGATGCCGAACTCAAATTGATCAAGGCAGTTGCCTTTCCCAGAGGAGAGTCTGGGGTGTATCGAACGAGAGTGAAGCAGAGTCCTGGGGCTGCAGATTGTCCTTGATACTCCAACCTCTTCCCGGCAAGTAGCCTCATCTGCACCCAATTCATTTTAGAACGGTGTCATGTCCCTATCAACACTCTTACTCAACTTCACTTTTGACTTCGTCCAGACAAGTGACGGTCAAGTGCAAAATTCTGCAATCCATTTTAGCGACGTGAAAATATCTACAAGTATCTTGACATCTTATAGTATGTAGCCGGTTCAAGCAGACGGTGACTTACTGGAAAACCAAGATTTCCTTGGATGTGACCTTCTAAACCGTTTGATCCATGTCCTTGAATCGTGAAAGTAGCAGCTCCGCCGAAGAGTGACCATTCTTGCATGTTGTCTGCATTCTCAGCCAACCGTTGGGCCATCGCCACAACATTTCTCTCTGCAATGGTCATGGTAGCTGTTCATGAGTTGGAGGTAGCAATCGTTGCGTCTTGATTAGACAAGTCCCAACTTCTTCCCTGATTGTTTATTTTGCCAGACAGAAATTGTAATGCAAAAGCTATGAAGACAAGGATCAAGTGTCACAACATTTGCCGTTTCGAAGCTTCGAGTTCTTACCAGGGTGGAATCCTTCCGATGTACTTTGGTGAATTCTAATAAGCTTTTCTTCTTCAGCCGTGGAAGATCTGCATGTTCATATCATATATCAAACACTCCTCAAAGGTCAAAAGGTCTCTCTTTTGTTTTGCGTATCAGAATACAAAAACAGAGTTGAGCATGTGAGCCGTAGTGGTGTTACAAATTATAGGAATACCTTATCCTAACAACAAATCTTGCTTCACCAGAGTGGTCTATTGTCGTTCTCGAGAGCCATTGTCCATCCTGACGGAACTCCTCGACGGCAGAACTCGCCGTCACTGAAGATCCATTATAATCAGTCATATGCCCTTGTTTGAAGCGAAGAATGTAAGGTGCAGCGCTTGGAGGTGTTATCGACAGTGAGTAATGTAATTGAGAGGCTACAAAACCTGAATCTGGGGACTGCACATATTTGAACATTGCGCAAATAGTAAGGGCAAGCTCACGTTTCTCATCAGCTGAAGACCATAAATTCTTTACCAAAAGATTGTTGTTTATGAAAGGCTGTACCTTCTGCTCAATCGTTGACCAACTCGTGCAAGAAAGCGCAGGGCCACTGAGAATCGAATTCCAAGTTACAGAAAGCCCTCCAAGGCACGTCGCTTTGGGCTCTGGAATAGGACCTGAATAGAACATAAGGTCCAGTTGCAAGCCCTCCGTCGAGATTTCAGCTTCAAAAGTGAATCCTTGGTTCCAGGTTAATTGGGTGGTCGAGCACTTCACTGGTTCTGTAATGAGTCTCATTGTAGGACATTTGTTCATAGCTGTCACCTGTACAAAAAAATGGCTTCCTGATAGCCTCTGAGGAATGTTTCCAGCACCAAATAACACCAGATGGACCTGCATCAAGTAGCAGTACCTTTTAGTGTTGTATAAGAACGATCCAATGGAGTTTAGATTGATCTACATGGTTCAAGATGTCAAATTCTTCAACTATGCTTTCGATTCTTTCTACACCTGAGATTACTCTCGGCCTACTTTTGTCGATTCGTTTCATTGATTCAGGATTCACTAAGACGAAATGAATAATCTAAAACGTCCATCATGTCATTGCAGCAGCTTTCCTCAAGAACATTTATGGTTGATGTCAAATTCTGGACCTAGACTGTCCACAGAGAATCATAAATGCCTTGGGATAGATTTTCTTTTCGCAGGAATTCTAAAGAAGAAAACTTAGTTCAATGAAAGAAATAGAGTTTGATGATGTCCTGGCCATGAATGAAGGTAGCAAATTTTTTGTCTATTTAAAATCCTTAAGGTGCAAAGAAGCTAACTAAAGAGTGATAGCTCTTCAATACCAATGCAATCAATCAGCAAGACCAGTTTACCTGTACAGTTTCCCTTTTTAGTAGCTGAGAGTTGGCCTGCATAAGGTCCTCCATGAATGTTGTCTTCAAGTTGAGCTTCCCTGTCTGTGATGGAGCAGGAGGTGCAGGATCAAAACCGGGTCCTCTGTACATTGCACCTGCCTGTTCGTAGACTGAGCCAAAAGTTTTTAGCCATAATTCACGAGTGTTCAAAAATCCTGTGTTAAGCTTTTGGCCTTCGCTCCGATCACTGTCGGTATCGTCGTGATCTAGAACTCTGCCGATCAGCTTTACCATGTCCAATCTGTAAGCCAAGGGACGAAGCTGGTGTGCATGCCACAACAAATCAACATCGTATGTGGGGACAATGAAAGGACGGGGGCCATCATTGTACTCCGCCGCCTTTGAAGCACGTCTAATAAGATGAAGAAAGCCTCTGTATCTCTTCTCGGCTTCTTGTAGATATGTCTCATCAGACATCCATGGCCGGTTCACCTGCGAGACTAACAACAAAAGTTAATACTTTGCATAAAAGAACGCTTGAAGTTTTCACCTCTCATGCGTATATATTTTACCAAGAAATAAAACCTCAACTGGAAGTCCAGTCATTCTGATAGGCGTCCAGTACCATAGATATTCTATTTCTTAGAAAGTTCGAAAGAGCTCTGCAATCTTGACCTCATCACTATTTCCAGCTTTCATCCTGCTACAGCCATGGCAATCTTCACACAGAATATCCATCACTCAGGATCGAAAGGTCATAGCAACATTGGCAGGATTCATCCCCATAACTGACATCGAATGGTTCTGACCTGGTAGTAGAACGAAGACTGACGTTCTGCTGCCGCGAGCAGATTGTACCGTACTTTGCTAGGAGGGAAACTAGTAGTCGAAAAGGTACACTCGGACCCATCTTCACCGTATCGTACAAAATGGTAGGGTTCATGCGGGTATGTCTCACTCCACAACTGAATTGTCTCTCTCTCCGTCTCAGCTCGTAGTTTCTCTTCTCCGAATGGAGATTTGGCAAGGTACAAGGGTGTCAAATGAACTAATTTCTGAAACAAATTGCGACAATCTTTTCCATATTGGACCTGCACAATAACAAGTGTACTCACTCTCAGTGAAGATTAATTGATACAATTGGACCTACATATTCCAAACTGAGATGGTTCACTGAAGCTACCGAGCGGGAGGACATCATATGCAGTGCAGAAAGATGGAGGAATGAGAGTTATGCAGCGGGTACAGTCAGACACCATGTCTCTAGGAACCACTATCTTAGTCAAAGAGATTGTTACCGGATTGAGCCTGTGACAGTGCCAGATCCAAGCACAGTCCAGCGGGGGCTCAAGACATTTGGAGCCCCCGTTCATATGGGTCTGAGCCAGAGGAAGCCAGCAGTGGAGGTATCTGAAGATAACAGAAGAAAACACTTGTTAATAACAGTATGGACCGAGGACAATCTAGCTGATAACTGATCACTGAAAAGAAGTTGTCTATCAGAATCTGCGGCATTCAAGTATAATCAAGTGTCATATCTATCAGCAACAAAGCAGCTCGGATTTCGAACGCACGTCTGGAACGTTTCTAGTACCTTTCAATGGCCCTCTGAAGCACTTCTGGCTTCTTCAGAGCGGGAGTACCCTCCACCAACGCCAAAATCCTAAGCTCATCCTTGGCTGCCATTATCAGGTCCTCGCTTATCTGAATTCTTTGGGCCTCATCCCATTCACTCTTTTGGAAGCCCGTGCTGATCTCCATAGCAGGCCTTTGTCGATTATATCAAAGAAGCTGGAGTTGGTCAAAAGCGAAAGCCTCGCAGCACTGTCGAAGTTCAGGGAAACATTCAAAACTAAGTGGGAACTCAAGAATGTGTGAGGGCAAAGAAGCAGAGTATGCAGAATGAAACGGCACAAGCACCTCGAGCTAAAACACAAAGAATTGCTCTGAACACTCTGTGTGAAAGTAGAACTCCTAAGAGCAAGGAATGGGGAGTGAAACGGCGCAGCAGGGAACGCCGGTTCGGGCAAGAATAGAAGAGCAATTCAGGACCAATAAAGGAGCAGCGATCATACTCTACAATGTTGGACAGTCTTCATCATTCATCGATGGACTTGGTAAAAAGCGATGGACGATTTGCGTGCCTCGCATTCAAAGAGCGTGATGACCATACCAGCTGATCGGCGAGAACTTTCACAAAATTTACAAGCCGCAGCTCATTCAGTTTTTTTTTTTTGGGCATAAGGCACCTCTAGTGATGGGTATGTATTAAATCAGAGTATTATACACCTAGTATAATATAGTATAATACAAGGTTTAAAATTGCATTGTATATTATTATATTGAAACCTCCTAATTGGCATGCTCATTTGCATCATCATCTTGACCAAATAGTATTAAATGGAACGGCTCAGAACTCATATGTGAATCCAAAAAGTCAAACTCTCTATACTCTTCTCTGGAAATCTACTCCAATCCAGCCTGATATCGCATGACCTGTTATAGTGACTCCGCCTCTGGCTCTTGCGCCTCATCAACCGCCATAGAGATTTATGAAAATCTATTGAGGAAAGTTTCCTTGGTTGCCTATAGCGAAGTTGTTTGTCTATAGAGAGCTTGTTGGAATCAAATAGACTCGTATAGGGTGTCGAGTGCCGAGGTTGGCCCTCGGCACTCGGTTATGTCGATCGACATAATACGTGGTGAATGATGGTGAAAAATTCTCAGATTGTAATGCGTGGTGAAATACTCAGTCTCACCAATGCATATCCAAGCATTTTGAACGCTTTATAACGCACTTTGGAGCAATGTACAAGTTCAAATTTATATAATACTGTATTAAACTCACGAAATTTGGGCGCTGAGTATTATACCCAACACTAGGCACCTCTCCACCTTGGGATCTTCACTCGATTCTCCTCATTCGAGATCTGCTCAATAGAGGTTCCTCGTGACTCTGGCAGTGAGGAATGAAGCAGAAGATTTAACATTAAATGCTCTTGATTGAGCTGCGCATCACGCCTACTGAGCAGAGCTCTCTGTACTTCGTTACGTACTTCAGACTCCATCGATGGATTCTGCTTGCTCCAATCTATAGCCATCTGTTTTAATCGAAACTGAAACGGAGAGTAATACTACCAACTGTACTACGAATTCAGTCTAGCAGTACCCAGAGCATTATTCTATGCTTTTTTGATGCACTTCGATCCTTTTCTCTTGGGCATCTGACATGGATTGGAACCTCCGGAGATCGAAGTACTTCAGATTGTACTGCGGAGTGTCCATCAACCCGGGCCTCGAACAAAACAGTGAGAGAGAAGTCACTGTGTCTTGGATGTTGAAATGGTCGTCGAATGTTACTAAGAGTCGTACTAATACAATCGGCTGAACGGTGTTGGGATAAGGTCTTACCTCAGATTCACTCCAGGAGTTATGGATGTTTCAACATGGTAAATACTCAAAGTATTAAGGACACCAGTTCGCTCGGACAGAGTAATGAGTCCATTCCATTGGGCCCATCGAGTCACGTGGGACCGGACTGGACTTGATGCTGACTGCAACAGACAAAGTAGAGACTTGTAAGTGGAGAACCTGAAGCCGGTGATGGCCTTGCCTTGATGTTGGATTCATGTTGCACACAGTTTCTCGGGACAGTTCTGTTCTCGAGTCCATCTTCTTAATCTCAAAGGGAGTCCTGAATCGGAAGTTGACGGTGTTATTTTGGGTCAGCCTGATTTCTGGCCGCGTGGCTTTAGATGCTTTTCGACACAAGTCTCCGAGCTTTATCAATGCCGTAGGATCTGCTATCCGTCCATGGAACCAAAAAGGAATCGCGGAGTAAAACAGCAAAAAGGATGGATAGTCCCCATCAAGCTTTACATAGCCCGAGTAGCATCACAATGGGCAATCTATCTATCTATCTATCTATATACCACAATAAGATCGCGTTGTTGATCACTATATACAACTACAAGGAGATGAGGCTGGTTCAATTTGGGTTTCTCAAACGAATTATTAGCGTGAGACTGCCTATGTTGCAGTGAAGCAAACACTTTGGACTCTCAGTTAAACGCCCATAACAGTAATATTCGAGTATCTTTCCAATCTATATCAAGTCCTTTGGTTTGACCGTTGATGGGCATAGTGGGGCTTCACTTCATCAGATCTACCACTTTCAAATCTGAGCAATCAAACATTTGCAAGCAGACAGTGTAGAGGCAACATAATGATGATCTAAAGACGTGCAAAAGTTCATCTTCATTTGGTGTACTCAAGGGGAGAGATAAAATACATTTGAAATATCACTTGAGGCGAAGGACATACAATCCTTAACACCTCTTTCAGGTAACACTTTAGTGAAATTTACAGAAATTGTAAATTTCTTTTTAAAGGTTCTATCTTTTTAACTGGCTTTTTTATGATTGACATACCTGTATGCAGATCAGATTTCATCCCAGTTTCCTGTCTATACAACGGGGAGTCATGAAAAACTGTGCTCCTGCTCAGCAAGAGAACTCCAACTGCTGCTAACCTCATACCTTAGGATCCTTCTTTCAAGTCCTACATCATCAGTTTTCACGAATTGAAGAAATTAGTCGCTGTCACGTGTTGTGTTAGTCCCTCATATTGCTGCTCTGCCACCACATCCACTACCGCATCCTGCACCACATCCGCTTCCGCAACCGGCACCAGAAGTGACGGACTGAACTGTGGTTGGGGCTTTAAGTGCTCCTCCGCACCCTCCACCACATCCGCTTCCGCAACCGGCACCAGAAGTGACGGACTGAACTGTGGTTGGGGCTTTAAGCGCTCCACCGCACCCTCCACCACATCCGCTTCCGCAACCGGCACCAGAAGTGACGGACTGAACTGTGGTTGGGGCTTTAAGCGCTCCACCGCACCCTCCACCACATCCGCTTCCGCAACCGGCACCAGAAGTGACGGACTGAACTGTGGTTGGGGCTTTGACTGCTCCACCGCACCCTCCACCACATCCGCTTCCGCAACCGGCACCAGAAGTGACGGGTTGAACTGTGGTTGAGGCTTTGAGCATTCCACCACATCCACCACCGCATCCTCCACCACATCCGCTGCCGCAACCGGCACCAGCAGTGACGGGTTGAACTGTGGTTGAGGCTTTGACTGCTCCACCGCACCCTCCACCACATCCGCTTCCGCAACCGGCACCAGAAGTGACGGGTTGAACTGTGGTTGAGGCTTTGACAAAGTTTCCACCACATCCACCACCGCAACCTCCACCACATCCGCTTCCACAACCGGCACCAGCAGTGATTGGTTGAACTGTGATTGAGGCTTTGAGCATTCCACCACATCCACCACCGCATCCTCCACCACATCCGCTTCCGCAACCGGCACCAGCAGTGACGTGATGAACTGTGTTCGCGTCTTTGATCGGTACACCACATCCACCACCCGAACACTCTCCACCACAGTTACTTCCACAACCTCCTCCTCCGCATCCACCGCCACATCCAGCGCTTTGTGCTAAGACTACGGCCACAGCTCCATCGGTTTTACGAAGAGCCGCATTGGACTCCCACCAAGGACTGTGAAGGTCCAAGGTCTTCGAACTTGGTTTCCAGTCTGACCTGTTATGGTTGTGATTACACCACTTCGAAGATAGTCCATTTCCAAGTAGACGAATTGCACCTGCGCAACAGGAATCATATCTATCAGAAGTAAGCACTTTTGATACATTTGATCTGATCACAGATGACTCTTGCGATCACTGATGATGGAAAGAGATTCCTTCTTACGTACAAGTCATATAATCCTCTTCTGATTACTGTGTACCTGGTCAAGTACTGAGAATAGAGAAAATGTACAACATCGTTGAAGTCCAAGTCAGAGATGTTATTGTGGACTTCAACTACAATTTGAAAAGTTACCTAGATCGCCATTGGAGCGTCTTCTTTGCCGTCTCCTCACAGCTGAAGGAAGTTTCTTCCACACCGGCGGTCTCAATGTAGGCTTCATCTCTGACAAGTAGATGTTAAGGGCTGAAGAAAGTAAAAGAACTAGCGTTACGCTTTCATCCTTCGTTACCTGCAAGCACAAATTTTATGAAGTGGTAAGGTACAGGTTCCTGTTGCTTGATTGGTCAGGATAATGTTAAAACAAGGAATAGAAGGTGCATCTGGAATTCAGAATGACAGTTAAGATTGTGACTGCTTTCATGTACCTCAAAGGATGCCGAACTCAAATTGATCAAGGCAGTTGCCTTTCCCAGAGGAGAGTCTGGGGTGTATCGAACGAGAGTGAAGCAGAGTCCTGGGGCTGCAGATTGTCCTTGATACTCCAACCTCTTCCCGGCAAGTAGCCTCATCTGCACCCAATTCATTTTAGAACGGTGTCATGTCCCTATCAACACTCTTACTCAACTTCACTTTTGACTTCGTCCAGACAAGTGACGGTCAAGTGCAAAATTCTGCAATCCATTTTAGCGACGTGAAAATATCTACAAGTATCTTGACATCTTATAGTATGTAGCCGGTTCAAGCAGACGGTGACTTACTGGAAAACCAAGATTTCCTTGGATGTGACCTTCTAAACCGTTTGATCCATGTCCTTGAATCGTGAAAGTAGCAGCTCCGCCGAAGAGTGACCATTCTTGCATGTTGTCTGCATTCTCAGCCAACCGTTGGGCCATCGCCACAACATTTCTCTCTGCAATGGTCATGGTAGCTGTTCATGAGTTGGAGGTAGCAATCGTTGCGTCTTGATTAGACAAGTCCCAACTTCTTCCCTGATTGTTTATTTTGCCAGACAGAAATTGTAATGCAAAAGCTATGAAGACAAGGATCAAGTGTCACAACATTTGCCGTTTCGAAGCTTCGAGTTCTTACCAGGGTGGAATCCTTCCGATGTACTTTGGTGAATTCTAATAAGCTTTTCTTCTTCAGCCGTGGAAGATCTGCATGTTCATATCATATATCAAACACTCCTCAAAGGTCAAAAGGTCTCTCTTTTGTTTTGCGTATCAGAATACAAAAACAGAGTTGAGCATGTGAGCCGTAGTGGTGTTACAAATTATAGGAATACCTTATCCTAACAACAAATCTTGCTTCACCAGAGTGGTCTATTGTCGTTCTCGAGAGCCATTGTCCATCCTGACGGAACTCCTCGACGGCAGAACTCGCCGTCACTGAAGATCCATTATAATCAGTCATATGCCCTTGTTTGAAGCGAAGAATGTAAGGTGCAGCGCTTGGAGGTGTTATCGACAGTGAGTAATGTAATTGAGAGGCTACAAAACCTGAATCTGGGGACTGCACATATTTGAACATTGCGCAAATAGTAAGGGCAAGCTCACGTTTCTCATCAGCTGAAGACCATAAATTCTTTACCAAAAGATTGTTGTTTATGAAAGGCTGTACCTTCTGCTCAATCGTTGACCAACTCGTGCAAGAAAGCGCAGGGCCACTGAGAATCGAATTCCAAGTTACAGAAAGCCCTCCAAGGCACGTCGCTTTGGGCTCTGGAATAGGACCTGAATAGAACATAAGGTCCAGTTGCAAGCCCTCCGTCGAGATTTCAGCTTCAAAAGTGAATCCTTGGTTCCAGGTTAATTGGGTGGTCGAGCACTTCACTGGTTCTGTAATGAGTCTCATTGTAGGACATTTGTTCATAGCTGTCACCTGTACAAAAAAATGGCTTCCTGATAGCCTCTGAGGAATGTTTCCAGCACCAAATAACACCAGATGGACCTGCATCAAGTAGCAGTACCTTTTAGTGTTGTATAAGAACGATCCAATGGAGTTTAGATTGATCTACATGGTTCAAGATGTCAAATTCTTCAACTATGCTTTCGATTCTTTCTACACCTGAGATTACTCTCGGCCAGTTCAATGAAAGTAAATATATTTTGATGATGTCCTGGCCATGATTGAAGGTACCAAATCTATTGTCTATCATTGAGTTATTTAAAATCCTTGGGTGCAAAGAAGCTAACTAAAGAGTGATAGCTCTTCAATACCAATGCAATCAATCAGCAAGACCAGTTTACCTGTACAGTTTCCCTTTTTAGTAGCTGAGAGTTGGCCTGCATAAGTTCCTCCATGAATGTTGTCTTCAAGTTGAGCTTCCCTGTCTGTGATGGAGCAGGAGGTGCAGGATCAAAACCGGGACCTCTGTACATTGCACCAGCCTGTTCGTAGACTGAGCCAAAAGTTTTTAGCCATAATTCACAAGTGTCCAAAAAGCTTGTGTTAAGCTTTTGGCCTTCGCTCCGATCACTGTCGGTATCGTCGTGATCTAGAACTCTGCCGATCAGCTTTACCATGTCCAATCTGTAAGCCAAGGGACGAAGCTGGTGTGCATGCCACAACAAATCAACATCGTATGTGGGGACAATGAAAGGACGGGGGCCATCATTGTACTCCGCCGCCTTTGAAGCACGTCTAATAAGATGAAGAAAGCCTCTGTATCTCTTCTCGGCTTCTTGTAGATATGTCTCATCAGACATCCATGGCCGGTTCACCTGCGAGACTAACAACAAAAGTTAATACTTTGCATAAAAGAACGCTTGAAGTTTTCACCTCTCATGCGTATATATTTTACCAAGAAATAAAACCTCAACTGGAAGTCCAGTCATTCTGATAGGTGTCCAGTACCATAGATATTCTATTTCTTAGTAAGATCGAAAGAGCTCTGCAATCTTGACCTCATCACTATTTCCAGCTTTCATCCTGCTACAGCCATGGCAATTTTCACACAGAATATCCATCACTCGGTACCGAAAGGTCATAGCAATATTGGCAGGATTCATCCCCATAACTGACATCGAATGGTTCTGACCTGGTAGTAGAACGAAGACTGACGTTCTGCTGCCGCGAGCAGATTGTACCGTACTTTGCTAGGAGGGAAACTAGTAGTCGAAAAGGTACACTCGGACCCATCTTCACCGTATCGTACAAAATGGTAGGGTTCATGCGGGTATGTCTCACTCCACAACTGAATTGTCTCTCTCTCCGTCTCAGCTCGTAGTTTCTCTTCTCCGAATGGAGATTTGGCAAGGTACAAGGGTGTCAAATGAACTAATTTCTGAAACAAATTGCGACAATCTTTTCCATATTGGACCTGCACAATAACAAGTGTACTCACTCTCAGTGAAGATTAATTGATACAATTGGACCTACATATTCCAAACTGAGATGGTTCACTGAAGCTACCGAGCGGGAGGACATCATATGCAGTGGAGAAAGATCGAGGAATGAGAGTTATGGAGCGGGTACAGTCAGACACCATGTCTCTAGGAACCACTATCTTAGTCAAAGAGATTGTTACCGGATTGAGCCTGTGACAGTGCCAGATCCAAGCACAGTCCAGCGGGGGCTCAAGACATTTGGAGCCCCCGTTCATATGGGTCTGAGCCAGAGGAAGCCAGCAGTGGAGGTATCTGAAGATAACAGAAGGAAACACTCGTTAATAGCAGTATGGTCCGAGAACAAACTAGCTGATAACTGATAACTGATAACTGATCACTGAAAAGAATCGAGTTGTCAATCAGAATCTGCGGCATTCAAGTATAATCAAGTGTCATATCTATCAGCAACAAAGTAGCTCGGATTTTGAACGCACGTCTCGATCGTTTCTAGTACCTTTCAATGGCCCTCTGAAGCACTTCTGGCTTCTTCAGAGCCGGAGTACCCTCCACCAACGCCAAAATCCTAAGCTCATCCTTGGCTGCCATTATCAGGTCCTCGCTTATCTGAATTCTTTGGGCCTCATCCCATTCACTCTTTTGGAAGCCCGTGCTGATCTCCATAGCAGGCATTTGTCGATTATATCAAAGAAGCTGGAGTTGGTCAAAAGCGAAAGCCACGCAGCACTGTCGAAGTTCAGGGAAACATTCAAAACTAAGTGAGAACTTTAGAATGTGTGAGGGCAAATAAGCAGAGTCTGCAGAATGAAACGGCACAAGAATCTCGAGCTAAAACACAAAGAATTGCTCTGAACACTCTGTGTGAAAGTAGAACTCCTAAGAGTAAGGAATGGGGAGTGAAACGGCGCAACAGGGAACGCCGGTTCGGGCAAGAGTAGAAGAGAAATTCAGGACCAATAAAGGAGCAGCGATCATACTCTACAATGTTGGACAGTCTTCATCATTCATCGATGGACTTGGTAAAACGCGATGGACGATTTGCGTACCTCGCATTCACAGAGCGTGATGACCACACCAGCTGATCGGCGATAAATTTCACAAAATTTACAAGCCGCAGCTCATTCAGTTTTTTTTTCGGGCATAAGGCACCTCTCCACCTTGGGATCTTCACTCGATTCTCCTCATTCGAGATCTGCTGAATGGAGGCTCCTCGTGACTCTGGCAGTGAGGAATGAAGCAGAAGATTTGACATTAAATGCTCTTGATTGAGCTGCACATCACGCCTACTGAACAGAGCTCTCTGTACTTCGTTACGTACTTCAGACTCCATCGATGGTTTCTGCTTGCTCCAATCTGTAGCCAATCTGTTTCAATCGAAACTGAAACGGACAGTAATACTACCAACTGTACTACTAATTCAGTCCAGCAGTACCCAGAGCATTATTCTATGCTTTTTTGATGCACTTCGATCCTTTTCTCTTGGGCATCTGACATGGATTGGAACCTCCGGAGATCGAAGTACTTCAGATTGTACTGCGGAGTGTCCATCAACCCGGGCCTCGAACAAAACAGTGAGAGAGAAGTCACTGTGTCTTGGATGTTGAAATGGTCGTTGAGTATTACTAAGAGTCGTACTACTACAATCGGCTGAACGGTGTTAGGATAAGGTCTTACCTCAGATTCACTCCAGGAGTTATGGATGTTTCAACATGGTAAATACTCAAAAGTATAAAGCACACCAGTTCGCTCGGACGGAGTAATGAGTCCATTCCATTGGGCCCATCGAGTCACGTGGGACCGGACTGGGCTTGAAGTTGACTGCAACAGACAAAGTAGAGACTTGTAAGTGGAGAACCTGAAGCCGGTGATGGCCTTGCCTTGATGTTGGATTCATGTTGCACACAGTTTCTCGGGACAGTTCTGTTTTCGAATCCATCTTCTTAATCTCCAAGGGAGTCCTTAATCGGAAGCTGACGGTGTTATTTTGGGTCAGCCTGATTTCCGGCCGCGTGGCTTTAGATGCTTTTCGACATACGTCTCCGAGCTTTATGAATGCCGTACGATCTGCTATGCGTCCATGGAACGAAAAAAGAATCGCCGAGTAAAACAGCAAAAAGGCTGGATAGTCCCCATCAAGCTTTACATAGCCCGAGTAGCATCACAATGGGCAATCTATCTATCTATCTATCATTCAATCAATCTAGGTACATGGGATATATACCCCAATAGGATCGCCTAACGTGATTTCTCTATCAATTATTTTGCACCAGCAGCTAGTGCCTCCACTATTGTAGATGTGCTAGGTTCCACACCCGGCACCAGGACTCGACCTCGTTTCGGATTTCACTGCAAGACGGTCAAAATGTTCAGAGCCAATTGAGCTTGTCACAGCTTGTAGTCAGCTCACAATAATCCTATAGCCTCTCTGTCCACGAGTTGTATTCTACCACGATTTACTACAACGAGAGCTTTTTCTTTTTCTACAGCTCGGACACAATTTTATATCACTTCATATCACTACGCTCGTCATGATTGGGGAATAGCTCCACGTGCTTCATGATTGCGTTTTAGAAAATCGGTTGCGATAAGTTGTCAAAACGTGCCCTATTATTCCTCGATCGGTCTCGTAGACTGCTGCCGCACAGAATGGAAGACTGTACTACGGACATGCTCGAGAGGTCCGAAATGTGCACGACGTCTCGGTCTGAATCTCGATTCTCAATCCCTAACTATGTTCCAACCCCTTTGTCACGAGAAGTCATGTACACTCCAATCCGTCATGAACTCCTTACACCAGGCCTCGTAACGCCTGGTTTTCCCATAACTAAAGAAATCAATTTAAATTATGGATTCTACTCGTGTTAATTTTGGGATTTGTTCATACGCACGTTATTACTTGACATTAATTGATTTTCTCACGCGGATTTTGTAAACAAATCCCAGAATTTAGGAGCCTGCCTTACACCCTTGTCACAAATACTACATTTTGCCGAACAGAGAGAAACTATTTTCCAGTTCCAGAGGATCTTCAGAATTGCTGCATCCAGGTATGATCCTTCTAGGTACGCACTTCAAGAACAATGAGTATTGACTACTGTAAAGATCCCTGCAAGATAACAACACGTTGAGCACATGTTCGTGCATTGGGCTTCTAGGAACAAATAAAATGTCGTGTTTTTCGCATATATGCAGCAATATCCAACAAGATTAAACTTGAGTGTGTGTGTGGAAAAATAAAGTAAATTTCTTTATTTTTTGATGTAATTTATTTAATATAATATAATATTTTTAATATAATGATATTATTCAATATTACATACATGATAATAAATAATTAATCAATACATCAATAATAGTATAATTACATGAAGATTAATCAAATATGTTATGATATACATAATATAATTACATAATTTCAACTCTTTGTTAACTCCCATTATTTTAACTTAATTTGACAAAATAAGGTCACTTAAATTATGCTTTGACCGTGACTTACATAAAGAAGTTAAATAACACAATCCTTAGTCTAAAGATTATATGTAAGATATGGATTATAATCCTTCCAGATAAAACTCAATCAATGCACCGGGCTAGATTAAAATCAATATTAATGGTGACTAGTTTACGTTTATGATAACACATAGAGCAAATATTCAAGTTTATTATATAATTCTAAACAATTTTCATCTTACATGAGTTAAATCTAGAGTAACTGCCAATTTCTTTGTCCATAAACATTAGATTGACTCATTTATATTTTTGGAGAAACTTGACTTAGTTGACACAAAATCCTTCCATGCATTATCATGCTAGGTAAGTAATTGGGTATAATCAAATCAGGCTAGAATACCATACCTCAATGTCTAAAACTCTGCATGCGTGTTTAACCAACTCTCTCAAGAAACGAGGAAGACCAATTGAATATACCTTGATCTCAAATAATTATCAATATTTTTTTAATACACTAAACATATGGTAAAGAGTTGTATTTATTATAAGATTTTGATTAATAAATACCAGAATTACGAATTTTCCCTAGTCTTTAAATGATTTTGATATATAAAAGATTTGAAGTTAGTAAAAATTTTCAAAAAGTAGTTGCATGTGTGATTTTTGATGTGTTAGATTTTAAGAAATAAGATAACTACCATGTCGCAGGTTTTTCATGATAGATCCACGAACATAGAAAACGTACATACAAGATAGCACAAGCACACTCTCATAAAATGCCTTAAGAGTATATATCACTTAGAGGTCTGGTTTAGAGACAAACATTTCTGGATCTAAAAACGAGACTAGGATTAAATTGTTGTTATAAATGAACCTACTGCCTATGCGTGACATTGGTAGTCGATTGTTCCGTTTCTTGTGTTCTCCTTTGTAGGGCACATTGAGAAAGCAAATCGATGAACACTCATCCATCTCTTGGAATGCTCGAATATGCTTTACAATCGCGCCGTCATCTTAGTTCAGATTGTCATGTGCTTTGGAGTTGAGAACTTTTTGGAATTACAGATAAAAGACTTGATAATTCTATTCCCTCCCTCGTTGGTAATTGTCGGCACCTAAAAGTAACGAAATATTATACTTAAAAAACATTCCAAATTTTTGACAAACAAGGAAATTCGTCGAGTCTCTACAGGCTTGCTTCTTGGATCCTTTGACTACCGACTCCAACCTAGCCAGCCATACATTCATGCAGCTAGCCAAGCGCCTACTTTGGCGAGGGAATGCAAACAAACGAACGAATTCAGGAACCACCAAAGTGTTTAGGTGAAGCTCCATATCATCCTTTCACTTGGCAGCTCGTCAAAACACCTCCACACTCTGATACAATTTGTTGAGTCTTTAATCAAGAGGAAAGTTGAATACCTTAGATGTACACAATCACACACTATACCACCAGAATGCATATATATATATATATACACACATGCAGAGCTGACACTGCATATACATCACTAGGTGTTACGTCCACGGAACACCTCAAGTTTTAATCAGTAACCCTAAAAAGTGTCATCGAGAGTTTTTGTGAGCCCTCTTACAAAGTGTCAGTTTCGCCATTTTCACTAACTGTTATCAAGCTAACCTAAGTTATCAGAAGACCTGAATTAACTTCTAATAACTAACAATAAACAATGACACGGTAACAAGTTTTGGCTTGATTCAAAAGGTATATATTTGTGAATAATACTAGGAACGATGAGAGTTTAGATACCAGGTCTCTATGAGCACTTTGTACATGTAGGGTATATATATATAAATAAAATACATCACAACACAATACACAATACAATTATTTGCGTTCGTTTGCAAACCTTTTTGTAAAACGTGTCCTTTTGTGTCTCATTTGTCATGGTGTATAAGAATATTTGCATGTGTTGTATTGTTTAAAATAAAACCTTTGTATGACGCGATAAGATAAACACATGCATGAAAACTTCAACACCCATGCATCATCTCCCACCTGTTTTAGTGTATCATCTAGTCCGTGACTCCAAGCTCATAGGTGGAGGGAAAGAATATTGTTTCTCTTGCCAAACTCATCCAACTTCCTATACTTGTTTTGTGAAAATTGTTATATATAGGCATACGGTAACTTTTCGAGCACCCACCTATGCTAGTTCTCCAGGGTAAAAGCCTTTGTAGCCAATAGAATGGTGAAAGCCGACACTACCCCAAAATTCGCAAGCTTCATAGAGAGCCAAGACCTCCTCCGCCGACTTCATCCAGAACAATAGGCCTAACAGTCGTCATCAAGCTGCGGATACTCAGCGTTGAGAAACACCTTCACCATATCAAGCTTTTTTCCAAAGAAACGACCTTCTAACCACTGCTAGGATTCCAACAAATATTAATATGTAACCTTGGAAATGAAGGTCCAGGATGATTTTAATTGTGCAGCATTTATTTCGTGGTTAATATTATGGAAGTTCTGCTTCGAGTCCTAGCGATTTAGTTTTGTGTTTTGGAGTGTCTTGAACCTATGATTCATGTCAGTCTTTCTCCTCGCGAATGCCTTTAGTGGAAGGAGGCTGGGAGTCTAGGGTTTAGGGTTTACGCTAGATCTTCTGCATACCTTTGATATTAAACCTCGGCAGAGCTCAAGGTGACTCTCTTCACGCTTACTCGGCTGGCATAATATTCCCAGAGCTGAACAACCAGCGAAAGCTTGTCCAATCGCAACAAAAACTGCTCGAAACACCGTTTCATTTCCAGCTCCTACCTTTTCTCGAGCTGTGAAAACGAAAAC